TTCATTTCTGTGCACTTCAGCTTCATAGATAAGGTTTCCACTCTTGATAATCTACCCTGAATAGCTCATGATCCCCCAAAATTCTTCACTTTGCCTGTTCAGAGCCTCGGTGAAGCTCTTTGAACTATTCACCTTTTTTGTTGTTGTTGTTAAAAATTTATTTATTTACTTCAGAGGCAGAGTTATAGACAGAGAAAGGGAGAGAGAGAAATAGGTTTTCCATCCTCTGGTTCACTCCCCTAATGGCTTCGACGGTTGGAGCTGGGTCTGTCTGGAGCCAGGAGCCAGGAGCCAGGAGCCAGGAGCCAGGAGCCAGGAGCCAGGAGCCAGGAGCCAGGAGTTTCTTCTGGGTCTCCCATTCAGGTGCAGGAACCCAAGCACTTGGGCCATCTTCTACTTCCTTGCTAGGCCATCAGCATGGAGCTGGATAGGAAGTGGAGCAGCCGGGACTCAAACAGATGCCCATATAGGATGTCAGTGCTGCAGGCAGATGCTTAACCCACTATGCCATAGTGCTTGCCCCTTGAGCTATTCACCTATGTCTCTCTGGTTAGTCTTTCCCTCCCCCCTCCCTCCCTCCGTTTTGCCTATTCATGTTGAATTTCCCTTTTTTCCATGTCTAGTCTAGTATTCAGCAAACACTCAGGGAAGACCATGTGTAGATTTCTGCAGTTCTACATTGCTGCCTTTTTTTTCCTTTTTTTTTTCTTTTTTCTTTTTTTCTTTTTTTTTTTTTAACTTTTATTTAATGAATATAAATTTCCAAAGTACGGCTTATGGATTACAATGGCTTCCCCCCCATAACGTCCCTCCCACCCGCAATCCTCCCCTTTCCCATTCCCTCTCCCCTTCCATTCACATGAGGATTCATTTTTAATTCTCTTTATATACAGAAGATCAGTTTAGCATACATTAAGTAAAGATTTCAATAGTTTGCTCCTCACACAGAAACATAAAGTGAAAAATAATAGATGATTTTTTAAATGATGATGAAATCAGATCAGACCTATTGTCATGTTTAATCCCAGTGAGAGTCAAGTTGGTAATTGCTAATTTCTTCTTTTTTTTTTTTTTAACAGAAGATCAGTTTAGTATACCTTACGTAAAGATTTCAACAGTTTGCACCCCCATAGAAACACAAAGTAAAATATACTGTTTGAGTACTCATTATAGCATTAAGCCTCAATGTACAGCACCTTAAGGACAGAGATCTTACATGAGGAGTAAGTGCACAGTGACTCCTGTTGTTGACTTTACAAATTGACACTCCTGTTTATGGCATCAGTAATCTCCCTATGCAGCAGTCATGAGTTTCCAAGGCTATGGAAGCCCCTTGAGTTCTCCGACTCTTATCTTGTTTAGACAAGGTCATAGTCAAAGTGGAGGTTCTCTCCTCCCTTCAGAGAAAGGTACATTGCTGCCTTTTAAAGGAAACTCTGCTGTAACGCTTCAAGCTGCCTAAACTTTCCTGAATTACTTAAGTCAGGCCGGCTGCTGGGCTCTGTTTGGGTTTTCTCTGATTGTGTCCATATTGTGGAAATCACTTTTGGGGAGATAATACAGGTGATTATTAAACTCACCTTGTTGCCTGCCCCCCCCCGCCCCGTTTTTTCCCTTGAGGTCACAGTTCTGTGTTGCCTGATATCCAGTGTTTGAAAATAGCTGTTTTTCTATTATAGCCAGTATTCTACTTGTTTACAAAGTGGGAAGTCATATCTGTTACTTGTTATGCCTTCATGGCTAGAAGCCTATTTGTTTTTTTTTTTTTTTAAGCCATAAATACTGATTATACCACTGGCTTGTTACTCCCTATGGAAAGCTATCTGGCTATCATTCTAATGCTAGCACAGCATTTATTAGTGATGCTCTGACTATGATTCGAAAAGGAACTAATATTTTCCTCTGTCGAAAGCTTTTATTTCATATTTTATTGTACTCTGAAAATTTTTAAAAATTTCTTATAGGTAGTTATGATTTACTTTCAAGGCTCACTTGCCAGAATTTTAAAAGCCTTCATTGTGAAAGAGTCCCACGCCATGGCCAAAAAGTACCAAAATTTTATTTGCGTAGATCAACATTCCTCTTCTCACGACAGCATTCAACCATGTCGAAGTTGTTCCGACCTTGGTTATCCAGTTTATGGGATTACTTAGACCTCCTTTTCTGCCTTCTGTCCCTTTTTTCTTTGCTTTTTATTTCCTGTATTTCTGCTTACATCTCTATTAGTAATGAGGTATGCTTGAAGGGTGGAGGAAATGTGAGCACACATGCAAATGCAACTAAGGAATTTGGCTCTTAATAACATTTGGAAGTTGTCAAAAGCAATGTCAAAATTCAGTTTTGGATTTGCATGGCCACTGAAAGTAGAATTATTTTCTTTGAGTGCCTGCTTGTACAGGTATTTAATTGACATTCTTTAATCTGCCACTAATATTGAAATGCAGTAGAAATTTGAGTAATCTTATTGATAGGTTACTATAGTTGAAATATGGGTATGTCAGAGAAGGCACAATGAAGAAATAAGGTGACTTTTTTTTTTTCTGTTGCCAGGAATCATTGGGTTTTGTACTAATTAGCCTTGAAAAATGTGGAGCTATTTGACAGACCAGATGTTTTCGGCATGAGCCGTGTGTCTCATCAGTGAATGTGCCTTGTGTCTGCAGGGAACATTGTTGGATTTTTTTCATTCTATAAACAGTGTTCCAAAATATAACTAAACCCCAAAGTGTGTTTATCTTTTTGGCTTAATTTCTGGCTTTCTATCCATTCTAAAGTTTCTCTCTAGAGGAATTGTGTTTTATTACACATAGCTCTTCCTACCTAATTGTAGTATAAACACCATTCTGTTTATACTAAACCATGTGAATTGTTCCTGTTTTTAGGTCTGTAAAATTTTAATAAAAGCAACTATTTCAGATTTAACTCTATTTATACTTTTATTTCTAAATTTAGGGGGAATATATCTTTTCTCCTTTATTTATTTGGAATAAGATTTTGATTTTTGTAATACATGAGAGAAAACATTAAAGAAAAAAAGTAAAAGCAGTTTCTAGTCTTTAGTGTTTGTGGTACTAACTGTAAGAAGAGCTTAGATATCTCTTGTGATATTCTTTTTATAAGGCCCAAATGCAGTTGTATGTTTTTCTTACTTATAGGAAGAAACTGAGGGTTTTTTTTAAATACTAAATATAACACAGGAAGCATAGAAATTAGGAAATTAAAAGCATAAAGAACAAAATTTTCACTCAGAATATTGCTGTTCAAAGGACAAAAGCAAGATTTTTAACCTTGCTTTTGTATATACTTTACCAGTCATTTTTCTCTGCACTTTTGTGTGTGTATTTAGTCAGTGATTTATTTCATACAGGCATATATATTCATAGTTTATGCAGGTCTGCATATTTATATTTTGAAAGATGTTATGATCATACTTGTAAGATTTATTTATTTTTAATTGATGTACTGTGCCATGCCAGGTTGATGCAAGGAGCACATAGAGCAAGCACCCATTTCATCTCCCTGCTTCAAAATTCCGTTTAGTATTTTGTCCTTTGATAGAGTAGTGTCAAAAATTCAGCTGATAAGAGCAGATACTACACTTGATCTTAGCCTAAAGGCTGAGGAACAAGAAGATCTATTTTTTGAAATGATTTTCATTAAACATTATTGCAAGCATTTTGCTATTTTGTTAGTCTTTTACCTTATGGATATATCATAATGTCTCTAACCATTTCCTTGTTAGTAGACACCTGTTAGTTTTTAAAAATTTGCTAACATAAAAATTCTAAACTCTGTAAAAGAGGTTTATACATATTTTTATACAACTATTTTTTTTGAAAATGCAGTTTTTGCAATAGTTGTGTTGCTAAATATTTCAATGAAGACTGCTATCATTAATAAAGTCTTCTTTTTACCAGCAAGCTGTGAATTCTCATTTATTAAAACTTTAATAATAGTAAATATCTGTTAAGAAATCTTTTGGAGTTTGACAAAATCATGTTTAAAAATTTTTAATGTAAAATTGTTCATATTTATGGAGTTCCATGTAATGCTTCAGTACAGGATACTTTGTGACATTCCCATTCAGAGTAAATTTACTCAAAATTTAACAGTTCCTTATGGCGAAACGTCTAAAATTATTTTAGTTTTTTTTAATGGGGAAACTTACAATATATTAATATTACCTATAGTCACCCTACTGTGAAACAGAATTTTCTGTGAGGCCTTCTACTTAGATCTTCCATATGGGTACCTGTAGCTTCCTTGTCAGTCAGGGATATGTGGAGTGCTTAGGCCCTTTTAGGTGAACCCTCTTCCTCAGTTAAGGATATGCAGAGAATTTGTCAAGTCCTTCTATGGGTGTCTTATTTCTGTGACTTCACTGATGAATTTCTACTTTGTCTTCCAGTCTACTGTTTGCCCTAGCCAGATTGTAACTTTAAGCCAATAGAGCTGAAAGCTTTTCCTATTGTTAGTTTTTTTTTTTTTTTAAACTGAGTTTGCTACTTTTATTCACAAAGCTAGTTGAGATTTTTACACTCTGCTCCAAGTTGTTGTGAATAAATACCTCTCTTGTTCTTCTTTGGTCAATTTCCACAGCTGTTTTGGGCAGCTTGACTCTTGACAATGTTTCTTTTTTTGGGTATAAGATATGTCAGGCTCTTCCATCTGCAATTGTGGAAGTCTTAAATGATTTTTTTTATATTAAGATGACCTTCTTTGATTTCCTTTTATTCATGGTGTAATTAATTTCATTGATAGAGATTCCAGGTTTTTAGATTCTTTGGATAAAATTTTTTCAATTATAACTTCCTAGACTCTTAGAAATTATATTACTTTTTAATTGTTTGATATTTTTTCATTGAGTTTTCATTAAAACTTAATTCTGGGATTGTCCTAAGGTGTATTAGAACTAATTTGGGCTAGAAATTTTACCTGAGAAATATAACTGTTACCTTCAAAAAACCTTAGCTGAACTATGTGATGAATCCCTTTTGTAGGCATTATCCTGCACTGAAAACTCTGGAACATCTGGAACATACCTATTTGCCTCAAGTAAGCCACTATCGCTTCTGCAAGGTGATGGTGGACAACATCCCTAAACTTCGAGAAGAAATAAAGGATGTTTCCATGTCTGATCTCAAAGACTTTTTGGAGAGCATCCGCAAACATTCAGACAAAATTGGAGAGACTGCCATGAAGCAAGTAGGTTGTGGGTTTATGATAGGTTTATGATGGTTTTTTAGGTTTTCAGTTACACATGGATTTCTCTTAGCCAAATGTCTTAATTGTTTCTTGTCATTTTAGGGAAGTCCTTCATCTTTATGATTAAAAAATGGTTTATTTTTTAAAATTTTATTAACAGAGTAATGAACTATTGACTACTATATTGTTTTGCTCTGTGCATGTTCAGTTAAGTAGTGATGATTTTTGATTGTTTATATTGGGGATTTTAAGAATTTTTTCCCGTTTTTTGAGTATATCCCTATATATATGATCTGAAGTCCAAGAATGTTCAAACTTCTCCTTCTAGTAATTGACCTAAAATGTGTTGCATGTATCTCTGACTGATTATTTACTATGTAATCAAGAGTCATGTTATTTATGAATATTTTCTAATATTAGCAGGTGTCAATGAAAAAAGCTATTAGGAAGGACTGTGAATTATGATCACAGAAAAATATTTATTCATAGCTTATAAAGACATGTCTTTTATACTTGCTATTTTGAAATTTTAAAAAGCCATTTTTATTTTATTAGAGTCAAAGAGGCAGAGAGAGAAATAGATGGAGAGATCTTTCATCTGCTGCTTCACTTCCTAAAAGCCTACAATAGCCAGTACTGGTGCAGGCTGAAGCCAGTAGTCAGGAACTCAATCTGAGTCTTCCATGAGGGTGAAAGAGACCCAAGTACTTGAGAGCCATCACCTGCTGCTTCTCAGGGTGCACATTAGCAGGTGCTGGATCAGAAGGAGAGATGCTGGGATGCAAACCTTTTGGCACTTCTTGGGACATTGGTGACTTAACTTTTTGCCAATTGTTCATCCCTGAAATTTAAATTATGTTGATTTAAAAAAAATTTCTCAGTAGACTTGATGATGTAGCCTGTAAGAGTGAATAGAACATTTAGTTGTTCATTATAAGCAACAGTATTTGTAGTTCTTACCATTCTGTGAGTAATAAGGAATTATGTTTTGAATAATATTTTAGGGCTCAACTAAATTAGTAATTTTAGTTCAGATGTCTCTTTGGTCTTGCAAAAGAGATTTGTCACTTGGTCCTTTCCAAAGGCAAGGCAACTCCCACTTCTTTGACGTTTTGTCAGTGTTATACTTCACCAAGTTAGACTTTAAAACTTATTGTGGGTAAGTCTGATAGAAATAATCAGATCATGGCATGTTTTAATATGACAAAGAAAGTTAGTCATTAAAGCATATCTTTACATTGTTGAGTGTAAGTTTTGAATATAGAAATTAAGGAATTTTACAAGGTAAATCTTTATGGTAGATGATGAATTTCAGCTGAACTTTCAAAATACAGAAGAGTGTAATACAAAGCCTCTATGAAAGCTGCCTTTTTAAAGGTGATTTTTTTCTCCCTAGGTCTCTGCATGAAGAATAAACTTTATTTCCCTTTTAATGAAAGAGAAATTTATTAAGAATATTGTTACTTTATGTAATGTAAACTTAGCTGGCTTCATCCTTGATTATATGAAGACATTAAGGACCAGGGTTGGGAGGTGACTTGGTTGCTCAAGTTGAAATGACTTGTAAAGGTCAGATCTTGTAGAATTCAGGTCAAGTTGACATGATTTTTTTACTATGTTACTTGATTTGTGTAAACTATTAGCTCTTTATTTTTGTCATATAAAGAAATTTTGTGAATTTAGAACTTTTAATTAACTGATAAATCTTCATTCCTTTATAAAAATTTATCCCAAGAAATAACTCTTAATGCATATATTATTATCCTGTGCTATTACATATATAAGATACTTGAATAAAGATATCTTACATATTTCAAAATCTGTTTTACATAGAAAGGGTAATTATGAGAGTAACTGCTACAAACTTTGTGCGTAGTGGGTTTATTCAATAAGTATTTATTAGAGTTAATGGATTTTGGAAAATAGGGAGTGGAATTGGTTTACTTCTCATTTATGTCAAGCCCCAAATCATGTTTTTGATTTGTAATCTTTTTTCTGTATTGATGACTTAGGGACATAGAATCTTTCCATTGTTTGGCTCTGCCATCTTTAATATTGCTTTCAGTATTGCTGTGGGAGAGGAAAGACTGAAGAGTGTGTGGGAGAGTTTTTAAGTGCTAAGCATGGATGCCTTACATTGTTACTTCTCCCCATATTCCATTGGTACTTGATTATATAGTGGAACTTATATGACTGTACCTACCAATTACTTTAGTCTGGGAAATGCAATCTCATTCTGTCTCTAAGAGGAGGAGAATGCAAGTTTGGTGAATAGTAGCTATTCTCTGGCACCCTCTAGTCATCAAACATCTTGACTCTGGGATGGGCATTGTGGTGTAATGGGTTAAGCTGCCTCTGGGGATGTCTGCATCTTGTTTTGGACTGCTGGTTTGAGTCCCAGTTGGAGTTCCTGGCTTTGGGTTTTGGCCTGACTCAGTGATGGTTGTTGCTACCTGTTGGAAAGTGAACCAATGAATGGATGCGCTCGCTCGCTCTCTCTTTCTCTCTCTCTCTCTCTTTCAAATAAATAAATATTTAAAATAAAAGGAAAACCAAAGCCATCTGCACTCCATCTCCTGTGTGTAGAAGATACTCGCCCCTTCTGAAGGAAGAAAGCCCAATGACTCATGAAGATGCTGTTTCTGTCTCAAAGTCTAGTATCTTTCAGGGATGCTCAATCTTCTCTTTATGAGATCCAAAAGTGATTTTTCATATAGTGGTGATCAGCTAATTAAACTTACAAGTTATCTGCACCTGTGTTCCTTCCTATCCCCAATATGCAATGGAGGAAATTAGAATAGAATAATTACAAGAAATATTTAGAAAAGGGAAGAATGGCAGACAAACAGTATTTCCTGATCCAAAGCAAATCATGTAATCCCCTTGGGCAGGCATTGGAAAGTCCTTCTGCCTGCTGGTAAGTATTCTGGAAATACTTTAATACTTTTTTTTTTTTTTTTTGGCCGTTGTTATGAGCTCCTAGATGTACATTGGTTTTTTTCTTTGTTTATTTTTTTTCTATATACATTTCTGAAGTGGATGTTGGGGAGAATATGTTTCTTGGAAGACATATTTCTGTTTTTCTTTCTCTGTCTATACCTGCAACTACATCTACATTTACATCTCTGCCTATATTTATGTCTCCCACTGCCTGATTTTAAGCTGTAAAATTTGTCTAAATTTGTTACACAGCAAAATGACTAATATACTCTATCTCTTTGGCTTCAAATAGAATATGTTATACATTTATTTTTTAAATAGAATAAGTCATACATTTATACTTTGCCTCTAGAGCCAGGAAACAGTGATTGGATTGGTTTCTATAGCTAAAAATTTCTCTGTCATCTTTCTTGCAATATGCCTTGAAAGTGTAGAAAAAGAAGGAAATGTACAAGTGTGAAAACTAGGATAGAGAAGGTCAGTTACTTAGCAGAATCTGAGGAGCACCTTTAAAACTGTCCATTTTCCTGTATATTGCTGCGCTGAATTTTAACTGAAGAGGTAATGTTTTTATTTTCAAAGAACTTTTTATGGTTTCATATTGAATTTTTGTTGTTTGTACCAAGCTATTAGATTGAAAGAATTTAGTGGACTCATACTTGGGTTTTGCCATGGGAAGCAGGGCTCTCTTTAAAGCAAGTAGAAAAATCCTCCATTTGATTACCAGTCATTTTAGCTTGAAGTGCCTGTTAAAGAAGTGCGCGAATTCTTTATTTCTATCTTTTTTCTCTTTTCTTGTTTGTGGTCAGCTAGCTGTCTACTGTTTTCTACATTTCCTTCTGAGATAGATTTCTGGAATTTACTTGTTATGGAAGTGATTTATGCAGGAGGGAAGTTCTGTATTTCTAATTTGCCTTAGGCTTTTTGGGACTAAAAACCAGTTGTAATATAAACATTCTTGGTTGGGTTGATTTCTATGTGAGGACCTTTAACAAAGGCTTTATTTACTTTTTTTTTTTTTAAGATTTAAAAAAAAAATTTATTTGAAAGGCAGAGTTATAGAGAGGTAGAGGCAGAGGGAGAGGTTTTCTATCTGCTGGTTCACTCTCCAAATGGCTGCAACAGCTGATCTAAAACCAGGAGCCAGGAGCTTCTTCTGGGTCTCCATGCTGGTGCAGGGGCTGAAGCACTTGGGTCATCTTCTGCTTTCCCAGGCTGTAACAGAGAGCTGGATGGGAATTGGAGCAGCTGGGTCTTGAACCGATGCCCATATGGGATGCCAGCATAGTAGGCGGCGGCTTTACCCGCTACACCACCTACTACACCACTGCCCCTTTATTTACTTTTAACATTTGAATTTGACGGGCTGGCACTGTGGCTAACAGGTAAAGCTGCTGCCTGCAGTGCCAGCATCCCATATGGGCTCCAGTTCAAGTCTCGGCTGCTCCACTTCGATCCAACTCTCTGCTATGACCTGGGAAAGATGGCTGAAGTCCTTGGGCCCCTGCACCCACGTGGGAGACCCAGAAGATGATCCTGGCTCCTGGCTCCAGATCAGCGCAGCTCCAGCTGTTGCGGCCAACTGGGGAATGAACCAGCAGATGGAAGACATCCCCTCTCCTCCCGTGTAACTCTGACTTTCAAGTAAATAATAAACTAAATCTTAAAAAAAAAGAAATTTGAACTTGACTTTCTCAACCACTGTGGATCATATAGCTGATGTTAAGGAAAGGAACTGGTTGTCTATAAGTGTAATTGAAGACTTATGCACTCTTTAAAGAGATTGATACTTGGGTAAACCTTGCTGTCATCATGATTCTCTCAACCCTTGCCTTTATTTGGTCTTGACTAGAGGAAAATATACTCTGATTGATTGTGTAGAACACCTTTTGACTTAGATCCGACTGGATACTACTGACTGAGTTCATACAGACATGTAATGGCTTCTGGGTAAAAGGAGTATTGCTATTGAAACCTCTTGTATGGTAGATGCTATGCAAAACATCCACAGAATGTGGCCTTTAGAGTTCAAGAAGTTGATCTGGTATTCCTGGATTTACTTTGTCCTTTTTTTCTGGATTTTGGTATTTATATATTTGTACTATTTCTTGATTTTTGTTCATTGGTCTATACAAGGACATTATAATGGGGGGATATGAAGGCTGTTTTGTAGAGATTCTGGATATAGGCATGAATCAGAATGGCTTATAGTAAATCATAACATTTCAGAAAAGAATCTAAAGAAGATAGTAGGGATTTAGTGTTAGTTTACTTTTAAGTAATATGCATGTTAGTTAACAAAATAGACTTTGGAGTCTGGCTTAGATTCCTAGTTAGCCATGTGCTAACTGTCACAGTGAGTAAGTTACCAGACATCACATTAAGTCAATGCATCAACTACAAAACTGAAAACTTTAGCCTTCTTTTCATAGATAAGAAAACAAATTTAGGGAAATAAGTATTTAACATAGTCCCAGCCTTCAAATAAATTTTAAATTAAAAATAACCAGATGTATCCTAGGTGAATGGTGAGAATGAATGGAGTGAAAGTGTTGCAAAGATGATAAAGAAGTTAAACCTGATGTATTGAAATATATCTTTATTCCTACAATTTGACTTATGGCAGTTTTCAGCCTTGAATTAGATTTAATTTTTAAATAATTTTTCTTCTTACCTTAAAATTATTTCTATTACATATGCTTCTAAAGTATTTTGAACTTGATTTCAGTTAAAAAACATGTATCTGTTAGTTGACCATTAAGTTTAAGATATTAATGTCTCTTGATATTGAGATGGAATGGCAAAAGAGAAATCCTGTATTCATTAAACCTAATTTAAGGGCAGTAGGATTGTTTTTTAGCTTTCTGTACTTCAGGGTAGAAATGAAACCATGATGTGTGTATGTTTCTATATATATATATGCATTGTATATGTGTAATGCATATATAAGGTTTATTTGACTAAGTGAAACCTGTAAACTTAATAGCAGAACCTTTCCTTCCTATTAAACTTGAAGAAGAAATAGTCATATGGAGTCTCAGTATAGTATGTAAACATGGCTTTATGTTGTGCTTACCTCAAAATCGATCATAGTTGGAGGAGGCATTTAGCCTAATGGTTAAGACTCTTGCATCCCAGATTGGTGTGCCTGAGTTTAATGTCCAGTTTCAGCATCCAATTCCAACTTTCCACCCCTGCGGAGAGGCAGCAGTGATGGATCAATAATTGGGTTCCTGACATTCACTTTAGAGACCTGGATTGTGTTTCCAGATCCTGGTTTTGGCCCTGGCTTAGCCATGGCTGTTGCAGGCATATGGAGAGTGAACTATCAGATGAGAGCTCTCTCTTTCTGTCTGTTTCTCAAAAAAAAAAAAAAAAAAAAAAAAAAAAAAAAACTATTAGCTTAGAAAATTTAGAGAAATGGCAGTTAATTACAATACTCACACCAGCTGAAATATACAAAGATACTTCAGAAAGTTTATGGAAAAATGGAATTTATTTTGGGATTGAAAAACTTTAAAGAAAAGATTTATTTATTTGAAAGGCAAAATGAGAGAGAGAGAATTGATTCTGTTGGTTCATTGTCCAAATGCTTGCAACAACCAGGTCTTGGCCCAGCTGAAGGCAGGAGCCAGGAACTCCATCTGGGTCTTCCTCACAGGTAGCAGGGGCCCAGGTACTTGAAACATCTTCCATTGTCTTCCCAGGTGCATTAGCAGGGAGTTGGATTGGAAGCACAGAAGCAAGGACTCAAAGTAGTACTCCCAAAAGGGATGCTGGTTTTACAAGTGGTAGGTTAACCTGATGTGCCATTACACTGGCCACGTATTTTGGTGCCAAAAAACATTCAAATTCATGTGTAGTGTTTTAAAATACACATTGAAGATCCCTTGTATACATATGTATTTCAGTTATTTTGAGGTTAAATTCTTTAGATACTAATTCTTTTAACTGGGCCTTGGCTTATTATACTAAAGAGCAATAGTGCTTAAAATGATATGGATACAAGAAAAAAACTAACTTATGAATGGAACTGAATGAAATGCATATATTGAATGTGAATATTCAATTTAACTCAATTCAGTTGAATTAAATGGACACATTTAATTATTTAATATATATTTATTAAGTGGTAAAGTTGGTGTCCTGCAAGAAGCAGAGACATACGCATGAATTAACATCACACTATAGGGGCTGGCACTGTGGTGCAGTGGGTTAATCCTCCATCTTTGGCGCTGGCATCCCATATGGGCACTGGTTCTGGTCCTGGCTGCTCCTCTTCTGATCCTACTCTCTGCTATAGCCTAGGAAAGCAGAAGAAGATGGCTGAAGTCCTTGGGCCCCTGCACCCTCGTGGGAGACCTGGAAAAAGCTCCTGGCTTTGGATCAGCACAGCTCTGGTTGTTATGGCCATTTGGGAAGTGAACCAGTAGATGGAAGACCTCTCTCTCTGTCTCTCCCTCTCATTGTCTATAACTCTACCTTCAAATAAATAAATAAAATATTTTTTAAAAATCACACTATATGTGTGCAAAATTAACTTTCTGATAGTAAACCTTACAAGGGAAAGGTCAACACAGTGCATCTCTCCCTGTCCTCCTGTGGGGAGATCTGATGGGTTCAGCTTTGCTGTAAAAAAGTGGGACAGGTCTCAGGATAGGAACTGTGCTCTGCTATATTGTTTACAGGCAAGTTGGGAAAAGGGGAAAGAGCATCCAATCAATTAAGTGCTAAAGACTTGGCTAGGGGATTCTCATATCAGTTCTACTTGAATCAGCTGAAGAGACCTGGTTTTCTTCAAATGGGACTAGCTCAGTCTTCTTGAGTCAGCTACTTGCTAAACTATGAGAATGGAGAAGATAGAGAGCCACAAAGGCTCTCCAAGGTAACATCTGATGTCAGTGGGGAAATCGTTTAATGTGATTATTACTTTTTATACCTATGTTCCCAACCAGTCTGTGGTCTTGCTAAGGATAAAAATGTGGCTTTAATTTTTCTGTCCCTAGCACCTTACCAGCACAGTAACTGATGACAGTAGAGAGTTAATAAGTCAATTAGTGATGATGTTCCATATGTATTTAACTAAGTTTAATATTCCTACACCTTAGTATTTTTCAGGAAAAGCAACCATTTTTATACAATAAGGTATATGCTCTTAGTCTTCAGTTACATTCTTAAGTATATGAAAAATATTTAAAAGTGTTCTCTGAATGGATTTTGATCCTTTCCGAAAGTATTGTGGAGGTGCTAAAGTGATCAAATTGACTTCTTCAGGGATGGTAGACTGGACCCCTGAATTCTCTAAATTCATAAGAATTACATGCAAGGGTTTTTTTTTTTTTTAATGTAAAACTATGAATTCCCATACATAAAGTCTTCAGGAGAGCAGATGATAGCAATGATTTTTTTGGAAGCTGGAAAGTAGAAAGACATGTGGTTATCCTAGCATACACACAAAAACTCAGTGAAAAACCAGGAGTAGGAACCAACAATTGAAATTAGGCCTCGAAAAAAACTGAGAACAACTCATGTTGTCAGGTTTTACAGAACAACTCATGTTGTCAGGTTTTACAGAACCGCCAAGGCTTAAAAAAGTGATGGAATCAGATTCCTCTGGAAAAGGGGATGAAACTGATATCTGTCTTGAAATAAGATCTTGAAAGTAAGATTTCAGAAACAGCTGGAGAATCTGATTCCTTCCTTAGCTTTTTCTCAGCAACCAACTTCTCCATCTTAGCCTTCAGAAGACTTAGAGGACAGTAGACACAAGTTGAGAGAAAGGGCACCATATTGAAAACCGTGAAGTTTTATATACTAAATGTTGGCATACGTCCTCTTCCTCTTTTAGCTCTCTGTCCTGATTTGGTTCCCAGAACTCTAATATCCAGGCTGGTGCTCTTCATGTGTAATAGTGAAAGATAATCTGAGTGATTTGATAAGCCCAAGAGAAAATTTCTTAAGATATATCCACAGCGTAGTCTCTAACAAAATGTACAAGTCAGATCACTTTGAAGTCTATGGTTGACTAGAGTGATGAACATGCACAGAACTTTCAATCAACTTTATAATCTCCCACTTTGAAATATGAGCTGATAGCCGAGTATCACCAGACATACATTTGGGAAAAGTCTGTACCATGAGGTCAGAACAAACAAATGTGAAGAAGCATCCTGGAGAAAATGGAGACTATGCAAGAAAAGAGAAACCTAAGGGGCAAAATGAAATAATCTATCATCAATAGTGTTAGAAAAAAAATAGTGAAAAAAAAGCTGAGAATGCTATGTAAAAGAAGATACAGAGAACAAGAAGAATGGTTAGAAGTCACGATAGCAGAAGCTATTTGAAGGAGAGTTTGGCAGAAAAAATTGAGAAAATTTTCTGGAGAGAATAGTAAACTGATGAAGAGTTGGAACATGGGAAACAGGAAAGATGAAAGAATATTAGGTGATCAGTCTAGCTGATCCAGCGTATTAGGCATTCTAGAAAAAGAGATCATATAAAATAAAGGGCAGGAAATCATAAAAATAATGTGGGAAAGTTTTCAAGAAGTCTTTTTTTAAAATTAATTTTTGTTCATTTTCATTGCATTTGAAAGGCAGAGAGAGAGAGAAAGAGAGAGAGAGAGAAATAGGGGTATAGATATCTTCTACCTACTGATTAAACAACCTGGTCCACACACCTGCAATAGTGGGGCCTGCACCCAAGGCTTGGAGAATGGAACCCAATCCAGGTCTCCCATGTGGATGATAGGGACTAAGTACTTGAGTCTCATCATATGCTGCTTCCCTGGGTTTACATTGATAGGAAGCTCTATCAGAAGTGGAGGAGCTTGAACTGAAACCAAGCACTCTGGTATGGAATGCAGTGTCCCAAGTAGTAGTCTAACTACTGTGGCCAGTGCTTGCCCAACATTTTGCAGAATTCTAAGACATGAATTTCCAAATTAAGAGACCCACCAAGTTCCCAACAAAAGGATGAAGACAGACTTATTAAAGGCATACTGTAAAATTTAAATAGAGAACACAAAGAAAATCCTAAACCCTACAGAGAAGAAAACAGGTCACACAAAAATGTTATGGAGTCAAAATGGTTTTGAACTTCACAACAGCAGTACAGGAAGCTAGATTTAAATGGAGCTTTGTCTTTAAAGTTCTGATGGGGAAAGTGATTACTCATCTATGTTTCCATATCTAGCTATGATACCCAGCAAGTGTGGAGGTAGAATAAAAACGTTTTCAATATTGAAAGGCCTCAAAAATTTACCTCCCATGTATCAAAGCTGGGCTAGGGGAGAGATTAAAGGACATAAATAGTCCAATAGAGAAGAGATGCAAGTGGAACCCTAAGGCGATGGTTATGGAGGTCGTTGCTTGACACTGGAATAAGTGGCAGAAAGGGCAGCCAGCATAGCCTGGGGCATTTGAGAAAGTTGAAAGGACATATTCTTTTTTTTTTTTTTAAAGTAAAAATTTATTTATTTGAAAGGCAGAGTTAGAAAAGGGAGTGGAAGATACTGATCTTCTATCCACTGGTTTACTCTGAAATAGCCACAGTGGAAGGGGCTGAGTCCAGGAGAAACCAGGAGTCTGGGACTCCATATGATTTTTCACAGGGGTGGCAGGTGCCCAAGCACTTTGGACATTCTGTGCTGCTTTCCCAGGTGCATTAGCAGGGAGCTGGATCCCAAGTGGAACAGTTGGAACTTGAACTGCTGCTGATAGGATTGCTGACATGTCAGGCAGCAGCATAACTGACTTTTCCGTAGTGCCTACCCAAAAAGAGATATTTTTGAGACGATGAAAGTGATAGTACTGAGTGTGTTTGTGAGGAAATTCAGATAGCTGGGGAGAGTGTCTTAACAAAGTAATGCTAAATACACAGAAAACGAAGCAAACATAAAGTTAAGAAAATTATTAACTCCGGAAAGCACAAGGTTGTGTAAGAAAGGAAAAGTTATCATATAGCCTACATGGTTTGGCTGTGAGTTACAATTATATACTTATAATAAATTAATTTAATCTATTAATTTATCTATGTTTTGGAAGAAGAGGTGAATGGGCACTGTCTTCAGATATGTGGTGCTGCTGGATTATATATGTAAAAGAGAGTTAAATCTTCATCTTTTACAGTAGAAAATCAACATAGAATTCTTAAAACTAAATAAGCGATGGGGCTGGTATTGTGGCATAATGGGTTAAGCTACCACCTACAATACCGGCATCCCATGTGGGTATTGGTTTAAGTCACAGCTCCCTGGTAATGCAACTGGGAAAGTGGCAAAGGATGGCCCAAGTGCTTGGGCCCTTGCGCCCACATGAAAGACCTAGAAGAAGCTCCTGGCTTCAGCCTGGCCCAGCCCTGGCCATTGTGGCCATTTGGGGAGTGAACCAGTAGATCTCTATTTCTCCCTCTCTCTCTCTAACTCTACCTTTCAAATAAATAAAATAAATAAATAAAAAAAAAAACACTACATAAGCGAACACAAAACAAAACCAAACCTCACACTAGCCAAAACATAGAAACAACTCAAATACCTAGTGACATATGAGTGGATAAATAAAATACACTGTCTACATACAATGAAATATTCTTTAGCCTTAAGAAGGAAGGAAATTTTGATATATACTACAACGTGGATGAACCTTAGAGGCATTATGCAAAGTAAACTAACAAGACACAAAAGGAGAAATATTATATGAGTCTACTTCTTGTATGAGGTTCTTAAAATGGTCAAATTCATGGAGACACAAAGTAGGGTGATGTTTCCTGAGGGATGGCAGATAGTGACTTACTGTTTGATTGTTAAAGAATTTCACTTGGAGATGAAACAGTTCTGTAGATGCACAGTGGTAATAATTGTTGTATAACAATGTGAATGTACGTATTGCTACAGGACTGCACACTTAAAATTGATGAATATGATAAATTTTATATCATGTGTTTTTTATCACAATAATAAAACTACAAAAACAAGCAGTAGCACATAGCATTTTATAGGGAGATAGGTAAACATCAAAAGAATGACTGCCTCTGGTGATTAGTATTTGGGAGGAAAAATATGATGGGGGAAATTATTTCTCATAATAAGACCCTATAGAATTATTGGACTATGTGTAACTGAACTGTGCATAGATTTGCATCTAAAATTTAGAAAAAATATATTGAACAACAAAGAAAAGAAATTTAAGTGGTTTTATTTGGAATAATTGGTGGATGGATTGGATATGAAGTGGGAAAAATTGCATACCTCAGAGAGCAAAGGAAAAATTCCCTTTATTTAAGAAACCATGTACATTTGTCTATGACATTATTGATTTTCTTTTCTGTTTTATGTAGAGATAATTGAAGATTCATTGCTGTAGCAAGATGGGATTGGAATAATGAGTAAGATATAAAGTTCAGTTAATTCTCTGTTAAATTATTGGAGAAGAGAACAGATAAATGTTGATATAATGGACAACACAGTAAATCTTATTCTTTGTAATAAGAAAAATCTTGAAAAAAATCTTGAGGGTGATGATGAAGGCTGAAAATTTGTAGTAATCAGAGTGATCCCTTTTCCTGGCCTTGGGTTCTTATAAGTTAAATGTTTACTTGTGTTGAGAAGAGGACACATGTCCTTCAACACTTTTTTTTTGATTGCAAAATAAATGTCATGCTGCCTTACCCATGCCACCGCTGGGGGCCCACACCCTTGTTTTATATCTGAGTACCTGTTCTGGTGAGTGAATGAGTGGCCCCTGTGCTGCTGCTGGCTGAAAGAGGGAGTTAGATCAGTGAAGGATTATTGTGCTCATGGCTAGTCTTCATATGATTGACTTGGCCTCAGAGTCTTGTGGGAGAGAGCCGAGGTTTTCATTGTTATTTCATTGGGAAACTTAACTTTCTTTTAAACTTAAAGGAACATGACCCATACGATAGTTATTCTTGGGCGGTTGGTACAATAACTGAACCTCATTCCTTTACAGTTCTTTTGGAATTTTTTACTGCCTCAAGTATCATGAATAAATACACTGCAGTAATATGGAAATGAGATTCAATTTATTGGACTCACTTTTGACTTTGACCTGAGATTTTGTGGTGTAGACTTTAGATTTGAGTTATGAGTTGAAATGAATTAAACTTGTTGACGTAAGTAGGATGCTGTCTGGCTTGTTTTTAGCATATAGTTTAATCTGTGAAATGTGTAAGAATATTAAATAGTTACTCAAAATAATGTCTTAAGTATAATATGTGAATATAATACATAGGATACCAAATAATCACAAGTCATTATCAGCTAAAGTCTACATCTGGTTGGGCACTGTCTGTCTGCTTTGCTAAAAGACAAATAGAAACAAGATGTATTTTTATAGATAATCATTGGAATGAACTGTCAAAGCTTATATTTGTTAATGGTCATCTTCCTCTCTCATTATTAGTCTGAAAGTTTTTTTTATGTTACATTTACTCATAAAGTTACTGTATTACTTTACTTGGGTAAGGATGGTGTTTTCTCAAGTCAGATGTAACAGCTGCATGATTGAAATATAGGGTAAATATTTTTTTAAAATCCCTTTCTTCATTGTTTTCTACCACTTTACATGGTTAGCCTGTCTGTTTATTTATTTATGAGACAGAAAGAGAGAGACAGAGGAAAAAAGAGATGTATCTTCTATCTCCTGGTTCATTCTCTAAATACCCATAACAGTTGGGATTGGGCAAGGTTGAAGCCCAGAACTCAAATCAGTGTCTCCCTCATGGGTGACAGGGTCCCCTAACTACTTGAACCATCACCTGCTGCCTCCCATAGTGCACAAGCAGGAACCTGGAATTGAAAGCAGAATTGAGACATATCAGTTTGGGATAGGCATTCCAAATGGCATCTTAACTGCTGTTCCAAATGTACATTTCATTAGTTTTTAAAAATTTTCTTCTTTTTTACCTCTTTCCTTTTTCCCTTCTTTCTTTTTTCTTTTCCTTCTCTTTTTCCTCCCTCTATCTTAGTTTTAGAGTTCAAGATGTGAGGATTCAGCTTTTTAAGTACTCAAACATGATGTAAGATCTAAAATCATAATAAAATTTAAATCAAATTTGAGAACCATGGAATCTGCAATATATATATATTATATTTGTATAATATATTTGTATAATATATTATATTTGTATAATATATATATTAGGAGTATAAACAACTGCTAAAAACAATAATCAAATCACAAGATATCTGTTTTATTCCTACTTTTTTTGGTATTCTATATTAACTACTACATATCAGAGAAAACATGATATTTTTCTTTTTGGACTGGATATTTCTCTAAGCGTAATGGTTTCAAAATGCTTGCATTTTGTTGCAAAAGACAGATTTCATTCTTTTTTTGGCTGAGTAGTGTTCCATAGTGTATATATAATCACATTTTCTTTATCCAGTCATTGGATGATGGACATCTGGGTTGATTCCATATCTCAGCTACAGTGAATTTAGTTGTAATATAGATGATGGTGTAGATAACTCTTTCATATGCTGATTTCATTTCTTCTGGGTATATTCCCAGGAGTAGGATTGTTAGGTAATATGGTAGATCTATTTTCAGATTTCTGAGGAATCACCATACTTTCTCCAGTAGTTTATATTTCCACCAGCAGTGTTTTAGGGTACCTTTTTCCCCACAAGATTTTGCTAAAAATCTTTATAAAACCTTTTTATTTATAAAAAGTGAACAAATTTCATATAGTATACATATGAACATATATACTGTACATGAATTTATTTACCAGTATGAAATTTAACAGTATAGTGATATTTCACATATTTAGCAGTAAGATGATACTTCACACCCTACCCTCCCACCACTTTTCTTTTTCATTTTTTCTTTCAATTTTTACACTGATGTACTAGATTTTTTTTGTTTGTTTGTTTGTTTTTTTTGGACAGGCAGAGTGGATAGTGAGAGAGAGAGAGAGAGAGAGAGACACAGAAGAGAAAGGTCTTCCTTTTTGCTGTTGGTTCACCCTCCAATGGCCGCCACGGCTGGCATGCTGCAGCCGGCGCACCGTGCTGATCCGAAGGCAGGAGCCAGGTGCTTCTCCTGGTCTCCCATGGGGTGCAGGGCCCAAGCACTTGGGCCATCCTCCACTGCCTTCCCTGGCCACAGCAGAGAGCTGGCCTGGAAGAAGGGCAACCAGGACAGAATCCGGCGCCCCGACTGGGACTAGAACCTGGTGTGCCAGCACTGCTAGGTGGAGGATTAGCCTATTGAGCCTCGGTGCCGGCTAGATTGTTTGTTTTATTGTTGATTTTCTTGAGCTCCATATAAATCCTGGGTGTTAATCCTTTTTCAGATGCGTGGTTTGCAAATATTTTTTCCCATTTTGTTGGTTGCACCTTCACTTTGTTGAGTGTTTCCTTTGCTGTTCAGAAGCTTCTTAGGTTTTATGTAATCTCATTTGTCTTGCTTTTAGTGCCTGTTCTTCTGATCTTCATTTGGGATAACTTAGTTTTTGATTGTCTGATACCAAGTGTTCACTTCTCCACGTTTTTATTAAAGTTACAATTATATTTTTATGAGTATTTTAAAACAAACTGGTTTTAGAGAGTATAAATGTTTTGAGGGGAAGATTTCTTTATGAAACCCTAAAAGATTTTTCTTACTATTTTCAGGCCTTAATGTTAAGAAATGTATTTTTTTTTAAGTATATTTGCAACAGTGGCTTTAATATCAGTGAGAAACCAAACTTTAGATCTTACAACAATAAATTTAGACCACAGAAATTAGCAACACCCAAATGGGTCTTTCTGGTCTGCTGTTGAAAATTTGACTTTGGGACCTTAGTGTTTCTACAGTCTCCTCAAATAACCTTACTATGCATCTGGTGATTATTTTTCTAGTAGTAGATTTTACTCTGGGCTTAGTATTTTTTTTTTTTTTTTACTTCCTTCCATCCTGGTATTTTTGATATGAACAGTTCAGTTTACTGGTGGGCTATAGTTTCTTTCCAGTGACTGCAGATCTCTGCCATGTGTGCAGAATGTAGCAAAGCCAAGTTTGAGGTTTGGGTCCAGAGCTTTCCAAAGATCCCTATGGTGTGCCCTCTGACCTGGGAGATGGCTCTTACTGATGCTGGAGAAACCCAGTTGAGAATTCCTAGGATTGTTGTGCTATCAGCAAGCGCTTTAATCTTGTCCTCTTCCAGATGTTTTCTTTCCTGAGCATGAAAACACCATCAAAATAATGCTAAGGGAACTGATATGTGAGGAAGTAAAAGTAAAGGAAAAAGAAGAAATATTCACCATCTTCACGAATGCCAGAACAGTGGACTATGGATAATGTAAAAGAGGAATCTTGTATTTTTTCATATCCTTCTAGATTTCCTTGAGAAAAGTTTTAGCAGGTGACCCTAAAATAGTTTCTTAAAAAAATTAGTTACAGTAAAATTCGCTTTTTTTCTTTTTGTTTTGGTGTAAATGAACTTTAAAATATGCATAGATTCATGTGACCACTAGTGCAAACATGTTACAGAAGAATTGTATCACTTCCTAAGATTCCCCTTGTGATTTGTTTCAACCTTTCCCTCCATCCATATTCCATGACAAGCACTGATCTTGGTCTGCCACACTGCTGTTTTACTTTTTCCTGAATATCATACAAATTCAATATTGTGAGGTGATGGAGTTTGTATTGTTTATGGGGTGACTTCTCAACTCTGCATTTTTTCAGCTTGTGGAACTATATATCCAAATGTAAATTTTACTGCATGTAAATTAAGGTTTCCATTACCTTGTAGGTCTGATAATAAAGGATCATGTTGGAATATATGAAGATGCATATGTATTTTAATGATTTTTTGAACTATGCAGTTTTACAATGTCATTGCTATGTTCCCATGTGTTTATATGTTTCATTTCCTTGTGTGTGAATTTCTATCTTGTTTATCATGGAGAACTTATTTTCTATAAATATTAGCACTCTTTATATAATAGAGACTCTTGCTTTGTCTTTTGAGGTAAATAGTTTGGGGTGTTTTTTATTTTTAAATGTAATTTTCTTCAAACACTTAAAAATTTATGAAGTCATATCTATTGATCTTTTATAAATTCTTCTTTCTGTTTCCCAAGGAAACATAAGCACATACTTTTTATCTTTTTTTATTTTATTTATTTATTTATTTATTTATTTATTTTTTGACAGGCAGAGTGGACAGTGAGAGAGAGAGAGAGAGAGACAGAGAGAAAGGTCTTCCTTTTTGCTGTTGGTTCACCCTCCAATGGCCGCCACGGCTGGCGCGCTGCAGCCGGCGCACCGCGCTGATCCAATGGCAGGAGCCAGGTGCTTCTCCTGGTCTCCCATGGGGTGCAGGGCCCAAGCACTTGGGCCATCCTCCACTGCACTCCCTGGCCACAGCAGAGGGCTGGCCTGGAAGAGGGGCAACCGGGACAGGATCCGATGCCCCGACCGGGACTAGAACCCAGTGTGCCGGCGCCGGTAGGCGGAGGATTAGCCTATTGAGCCGCGGCGCCGGCCTTTTTATTTTTAACCTTTCAATAACTTTTATTCTATTCCTTTCTTTCTTTATCTGCTGTATGTTTCTTCTCCTCCCTCAACTTAAAATTTCTTTCTATGAATCCTGATTAGCTCACTTGTTCATTCATGAAATATATATTGAGATTGTATGATATGTAAAGTACTGTGGTATGTATGATGGTATTCAAACCTAACAGACCTGTCCTAAAGGAGATTTCTACTCTAGTGAGAAATGAAAAATATGCACAAGTATTAGGAATCCCAGGTAGAAAAGAAATTCCATGGTGCAAATATGGAGGACTTGCTAGGAGAATTTAGAGGAATGAGAAGTCCCTTGCAGTTGTATGAGATGCTCTAATTTAATGATAAGGTGGTGTTTGAATTGAATTTGGATATATGCTGTTAAAAGTTACTAGTGTTTCATAACATTATATCACAAAACTTAGCAGCTAAAAACAGCAGCCATCTTAATTATGGTTATAAATTCTGTGGTTCAGGAGTTTGGTTAGGGCGCAGTGAAAGTGGCTTTTTTTTTGCCTTAAATTTCCAGGATCTCAGCTGGGATGACTCTGAGACTAGTAGTGGTTTAGGGACTGGACTGCAATCTTCTCAGCCAAAAGGCTGAGAAGCGATGGAGGTTTCTTCACTCATAAGTCTAGCACCTTCCTTGGAATGATTTGAATACAAGATTTTCTGTATTGAGTGCTTATATGTGAATGTGTGACTTTTTGTCACACATTGATGACTCAGTGTTTTTGAACTTCCTAAGTGCCCCAGGCACAATGTGGAGGCCACATCACTTTATTTAACCTAGCCATGGAAGTCACATTGTGTTGGTTAAAGTTAAAGACAAGCCAGCTCTAGTCAAGATAGGGGCCACGGACACCCATCTCTGATAGTGTTGAGTGTCAAAGAATTCTGAAGCTTTTAAAAATCTATCCCACAGGCCATAGTCTGAATATCTTCCCAGCCTAAGAGAATAATGTAATTTTAGCAAAATACACAAAAGTGAAAATCTCTGCAATAACTTTGAGAGTTTCAGCTCTTGGTAGTTAACCAAAAAAAAGTAAGGTAAGGTAACTTTCTGAATAAACAGTTATACTGCTTGTTCCTCTCCTCCCTGCTAATCTGTCCTGCCATGATGTTTTCAGACACCCACAGACATGGGGATGCATACACACACATATACACACACAGGGTCCTTCAGGTGTTCTGTGGTTGAATGACTCTGGGAAACATTTCATTAGAAAGTTTTCTTCCTTCAAAAATTTGTTCACAAGTGCTTGTTGTGAATATCATGCGTATCTGTCTGCCTTATTTAGTGGTTTCCTAAATAATTACTCAGGAAGGATATATCCACATAGGGAGAAGCTCTGGGCCAATATTGTAAAATATTTTATGTTCAAACAATAAGTACGTAGTATATTTTCTGGATAACTTATAATTTTTATTCTTCTTGCCTGTTGGAGTTTGGCTTATTTTCTCTGGTGTTGATCATGAAGTGAAACAGGAATATAGGCTGGGGGAAGCACATTCAACAGATAATGGAGACTATCGAAAACATTAATGGATTATTGCTAGGTTGCTTGCTGATTAGAATGTATAAATTTTCTTAATTTCTTTTGTTTAAGATCTCAACAATTGAAGAAAACCTAAGTAAAAACACAAAAAATTACATTTGTGTGATTGAAAATTGATGGGTGGTCATATAAATTTTCCCTTTGTATAGTTTATGTGATTTTAAGCTTTAGAGACTTTCTGAACCAGGTGATTGGGATGGATTCTTTGTTTCCTCATTAGAAGGTGAATGGATAAATGACTGAATCAAGATGACTATGGATGGGAAGTAGTGAGATTATTAAAATTGAATTTTTCATTTATGAATACCTTTGTGAGAGGCTGCTGAACATGGCAATGTCACGAGTTTATACTGTGAGTTTTAAGTTTTCAACTGACCAGGATTTATTTTTTTGAAAGCTTGCAAAACATTTTGTTCTGTTGATAAGTTCAGGTTAGTTTACCTTTTCTTTCCTTTTTTTTTTTTTTTTTTAAAGATTTATTTATTTATTTGAAAGGCAGAGAGACAGAGATATCTTTCATCTGCAGATTCACTCCTCCAATGGTCACAGTGGCTGGAGCCGGACTGACCTGAAGCCAGGAGCTTCATCTGGGTCTCCCATGTGGGTACAAGGGCCCAAGGAGTTGGGCCATCTTCTGCTGCTTTCCTAGGTGCATTAGCAGGGAGCTGGATTGAAGTAGAACAGCTGGAACTCGAACTGCCTCCCATATGGGATGCCAGTGTTGCAGGTGGTGGATTTACCTGCTATGCCACAGCACCTGCCTCTACTTTATCTCTCTGACAACACTTTTAAAATTGCACATCTGTAGCAAATTTAGAACAGTTTCAGTTATTACTTATGCGTATGTGTTTATGCGTGTATGTTTGTATACACAGTAGAGAACATTTTGTGTAGGTTAGGGCAGTTGTTTTGGTGGGAAAGAAAAGGCTTTGTCAGGTTGAGCACCTACTTTCATGTGTGTGTGTGTGTATGTGTGTGTATTTGGTTAAATTCAGAAGTCAGCCAACTACTGAGGTTTCTTGAGTGTGGTTAGCCACTAAAACAGAACAGTGATAATGGATCTTTATATTACTTTTTAAGTATTTGGCAGTTTTTCAAAATTGAGAAAATATTGTTTTAGAAATCAGAGTGCCCTTTCATGGGAGTTGATTACCCTATATACTAGTGAGAGATTAATGAGATTGAAGGAAGTAGAGAATTTGAAAGTCCTTGTTTTACAGACAGTGTTTCAATGCTATGGGTATGTGTTCTGTGCTGTGGCACACAAAATGAAGAATGGGGACTTTAAGTCCCAAGGGACCCACTAGCAGAATACCAGGTGATCAAAGGGGATCAGGTGCTGATGTTTGGAGGAGGGGAATGTATGACCAGGATAAATCCCCAAAAGTAGAACTAAAGATGGTAAGTGTTACCTGGCCATTTCTTGAGGACATATGTCTGAATTGCTTTCATTTTTTTGTGCCCATAGAACCTAGTGCATTGCCTTCTACAATCTAGGAATTCAGAGAATTTTTGTTGCACACACATATGCCTTTCCCCATCCCCACTCCCTCTTTTGGTTGAGCATCCATGCACTTAATGACAGAGCTTCTGCATAGACATTGTAAGTATTATTTTTGTATTTTTTGGTGATTAATTTGCTGATGAAACCTGACTGTACATTCAACTTTGATATCTGAAAGATGCAATGAATCTTTGAAATCCCAGGTAGAATTTTCTCTCTTTAATATAGTTTTTTTTTTTTTTTTAATTTATTTGACAGATAGAGTTAAACAGTGAGAGAGACAGAGAGAAAGGTCTTCCTTCCGTTGGTTCACCACCCAAATGGCTGCTACTGCCAGAGTTATGCCGATCCGAAGCCAGGAGCCAGGTGCTTCCTCCCGGTCTCCCATGCGGGTGCAGGGGCCAAGCACTTGGGCCATCCTTCACTGCTCTTCCGGGCCACAGCAGAGAGCTGGACTGGAAGAGGAGCAACCAGGACTAGAACCTGGTGCCCAAATGGGATGCTGGCACCTCAGGCGGAGGATTAACCAAGTGAGCCATGGCGCTGTCCCCTTTAATAGAGTTTTATCTCAGTTTTCTTCCAGTGAACATTGCTTGTTACCAGTATTTTTGTTGTTGTAAAAATACATAACATAAAGCTTACTATTTTAATGATTTTAGGTGCACAATTCTGTGGCATTAAGTACATTCACACTGTTGTGCAGCCATTAGAAATTACCAAAAACCATCTCCAGAACCTTTTCATTTTCCCAAACTGAAAGTCTTAATCAGTGAGATTTATTTATTTATTTATTTATCTATTGTTATAGATTTTGAGTAGCTTATTTACTTTTCCACTAGTCGTAGTTTATGTCATGATTATAGGTGGCTAAATCCTCTAACTTCTCAAGAATATGTAACATTATTGAGTGAGCATTGCGTCTTATGGAGAACTTTAATCTTTGGGCATACAGTTAAGAGTTCTTGACTTCACAGCACCACAAACCCTCTTTGAAATGATCTGCAGTGAGTTATAAGTTTCTCATTTGTGCCTCATTACTGACTGAACAAATGAAATATTTAATACATGTGTTTGAGGAGCTTATTTTGATATCTTTGCAGAGGAGGAAAGGAGACAAAGAACAAAAGTGGAATTTACATGACACCTTTTAATGATCATTATTTTTTAAATGTTTATTTTTGTCTACTTGAAAGAGTAATAGAGAGAGAGAGAGCGAGCGAGCGAGAGAGAGCGAGCGAGCTTTCACCCTCTGGTTCATTCCCCAAACGCCCGTCATAGCCAGGGCTGGGCCAGACAGAAGCCAGGAGCCTGGAACTCCATCTGGGTCTCACACATGGGTGTCAGGGTCCCAAGCACTTAGCCTGTCATCTTCTGTTGCCTAGGTGCTATAGCAGGGGGCAGGTTGGAAGGGTGAGTAATCAGGACTTGAATTAGCAATTTGTTATGGGATGTGGTTGCCCCAAATGGCAACTTAATCTGCTGTGCCATAACACCTGCCCCAGCTTTTTAGTTTTATAAGAACTACATTATCTCTAATTTTATAGGTATACTTTTTAGCTCTTCAATTTCCTTGAGAAATTTGTTTGGAATATAAAACTGGGAGTAGTCTTTTCTTTTTCAAATTCTTTCCAGTCTGGTGGTTGATACAGGTAAGTATGTGTGCATGTGTGTATACACATACATGGTACTATTGTTATTGGAGCTAACAAAATATATAAAAAGCTGTATTTTTAGCTTGAGTTTTGTGTAAAGTCTGGTTAAAGGCATTAAAGATTAAAAGCTGACTTGAACTCTGGTGGTCTTAGTCTATTTTTGAGGGCTATACTGCCCTTGAATATGGCAATTTTACTCTGGTGCCAGATTGTTTGTGGCTAAGGAATGCCTCTTTTTCATTACTATAACATTATTTTTTTTCTTAAGCTAAAGTCTGTTATTAATTTGTACCTTTCCCTTACTTCTCAATAAACCATATAAGAAAACAAGCAAATGCCAAAAAATAATACAGCCTGCTTCCTACCAGAATGACTTCAGCCCTTCTTAGGCTGCTAAACATATGGATATCCCAGCTGCTCTGATGAAGAAGGCTGTGGCCTAACTGGGCGTGTGTGCTGTTTGATGTTCTTGGTAGGTATTCAAGCAGAATTTGATCTCTTACCAGTGGAGGAGGGAGCTATCTATAGCAGTAGTTCCAGAACATTTTGGAGACAGAAACCTTTCAAGAATCTAATGAAAGTCATGAGCCTTTTCCTTATAGAAAAATTAGTATTAATTTTCATAACACTGAAAAAGATTCAGATACTTTCTGATATATTTCAAATTACATAAACCTTGTGTATATATATCTGGATTCTTAAGGTCCAGAATTAGTGTCAGTGGTGTATCCTGGGCTACTCCTTTTCTAGTTTCTTCATGATTTGTGAAGAACGTATAGCAGAACAGGTTGATAAAGTTTTAACCACATAAGAGTTTAATTTCATACCTTTAGTGAGAAATGGATGTTATCGTCATTAACACATTGATACATAGGTTGGAGATACTGGTATGCTTTTCTTAGTAGCCACGTTTAGGTAGGGTATAGAAAATAAGTTGACCATTATTACATTTCCTACTTTGGAAACTACCAATCCAGTTGATTAGAATAGTTAAGTGCCCTAAGTCTGTGTGTACTGCTAGAGCCGTTAGCATCATCTCCGATCAGTTGGAGTCAGCGTGACACTCTTCCCACTGTGATGTACCATGTCTTAGAGCCCTGCTCCATGTAGCGGTCTAGGCCAGCCTTCACAAATAGGTCATAAATGGCACATGGGATAAAATGTGTTCATTATTCTGGTTATAAGAGATTAACTTTATTTGTTGAAGAGGTAGAGTGTTCATATATTCTAGTATAGGCATTTTAGGAAACATCTTATTAGCAGTCGTGTGTGTGTGTGTGTGTGTGTATTTGGATTTGTGTGAGGCAGCTGGGGGAGTCTGGCCTTCCATCATTGCTTCAGTGATTTTTCTTTTCTTCTATAAAAAAATTATCATTGGCAACTTTCCTTTGGTTTTTATGTTAAATGAAAAAGTTCAAGAATATTTTCATAGATTTTTGACTTATGCTTATGATGGGAATGGAAAACATACTCTCCACCCCCACCCCCACCCCACCCCCTCAGTATATAAGGTTTACTTTAATTCTCATCTCTGCAAAGTCCAATTCACAGCTGGAGTTTCTTTTAGTGGGAATTTCCTGATTTGAATTCCTTAGCTTTTCCTACATGATTTACCTATTGTGTTGCAGGACATTTTTGCTCTTACTAGGTTTACTACTTGAAAAGCCTTACTAAACTTCTGGTGTACTCACAGGTACTACTCTTATAGCTATGCTTTTCTGTGTCCTGGTGATTAAAAAGGATGCTTCTTCCATGCAGCCAGCAGGATTAACAGATGGCCATATTGAACCCCAAAGCATCTAGGCTTCTTTCCTGCTTTAACCCCATAACCTCTCCCTTGGTTGGCAATGTGCTGGTGTTGACAGTTCTCTTAGTTCAGCCAAAGGTGAAAGATAATTGCTTGTGGAGTAGCGGCTGGGATGGTATGTGTTTTTGCAGCAAGCATCCCCACCCCCGCCCCCAGGCAGAGCTTTGGATCTGGTGCATATTTCAAAGCATGTGTTAAACTTTATATGATACTGATTAAAATGGAGGGCTCCAGGGTGAATTGGCAGAGCCCCACCACTGCATCTGCCAAATGACATACAGAGAAATGTCTTGTTACAAACGGAAGGGCTGAAATCTATCTATTTTAGCAATATGTAAGCCCACAAAATGAAAGGAGACTCTGAGCATGTGTGTATACACAGCCTGGGAGCATCCAGGATTCGTTAACAATTCCTTTGTCTCTGTGACATTTTTCTTCTCCTTTAACCAACAACAGCAAAGTCCATGTGTGAATAATAGTTTGCATTACCATGTCCTATAGGCCTCCATTCCCAATGAACATTTGTTTAAAAACCCAAGTTGGACCAAACATGGAGTAGCCAGAATTGTGGGTCTTTAAGATGAGATCTATGAAGTTAATTCTTAAAGGAAGCAAACTCTTGGCCAGCGCCGCGGCTCACTAGGCTAATCATCCGCCTTGCGGCGCCGGCACACCAGGTTCTAGTCCCGGTCGGGGCGCCGGATTCTGTCCCGGTTGCCCCCCTTCCAGGCCAGCTCTCTGCTGTGGCCAGGGAGTGCAGTGGAGGATGGCCCAAGTGCTTGGGCCCTGCACCCCATGGGAGACCAGGAGAGGTACCTGGCTCCTTGCCTTTGGATCAGCGTGGTGCGCCGGCCGCAGCGCGCTGGTCGCGGCGGCCATTGGAGGGTGAACCAACAGCAAAGGAAGACCTTTCTGTCTCTCTCTCTCACTGTCCACTCTGCCTGTCAAAAAAAAAAAAAAAAGAAGCAAACTCTTTACAACGCAGATGTTTATTTCCAGAGCTTTTAGGTTCCAGCATTCTTCATGACCTTTTAGAAAGAAGTATGCGCTTATATCCTAGTATGGATCAACACTTTATCATAGGCAACATTAATATCTCAGGGTTACATTTCCTTAGACATCTTGTCCGCTTTTATGACTGGGTTAAGATAAAGAAGCCATCAAGTCTAAATGTGACACTAATATTTTGTTAGGAAAGCAGAGAGGATAAGCAATGTAGAAGAGTAAGAAGGATGAGTAGCACCAAAACCAAAACCAAAACCAAAATAAACAAATCCAAGTTTAAGATATTGGTGGAAAGAGGAGGATGAAAAGAGATGTAAGCGAGACTTATGAATCATGGGTGAATAGAGAGAGCAGGCATAAGATTAGAGTTTACAGAATGGATAGTGAGTTCTAAATACTCACACTAAGCAGCCACAGTTATATTGATTTATACACTTAAATAACTCCATAAAACACGTATGCATTTCATCACATTCTCGGCTTCAGGATCTCTTTTTCCAGATACTGAAGAATGTTTTGATTCTGTGCGTTGTTCTTTTATTTTTCTGAATGGCTCATAAGATGGCTTTGAGAACTTATTATAGGACTTTGTTGTCATTTAGGTTAAACTTGAGCTGACAAGGCATAACTTGAACAACCTCACAGGCAAAAAAAAAAAAAGCACTACAGTAAAGGTAGCAGATCTTGGATTGGGAAGGCATATACATTTTATTGTTTAGAACTTGCTTTTAAACTCTAAAAACTTGTGAGATTTGCATATAGGGTTATATTCCAGTAATACAGGTGAGATGATCTGAGTCTATTTTGCTTTTAAGTGTTAGTTGTATCCTGTTTCTTTTGTTAACTTTTTGCTGCTGCTCCTCCCTGTCCTGTCTTCCCTCTTTCCCCCAGCACTCCTTCTTCTCCTCTTCTTCCTTCTTTAGACTTTTGAAATGGGGACAGGGATTATGCAGGGAATTGAGAGACAAAATGCTTGTTATTAACCTCCCTTTTTGGAACTTTTATTGAATTTCATCTTTATTTTCCTCTGTATTAAAGCTTAATGCTCCAGTCATTAAGATACTTACTTCTAAAGCATATTTTTGACTTAAACTTTTTAAAAGGATAGTTTAGAGTAGGGAGAGTTGATAATCTGTTTTTCTTTCTCTTAGAGTCCCAGTTGGGTTAAATAGGACTTGCCCTGAGGATGTTAGTATTGACTTCATGTAAAAGAAGTTTGAAACCTAAGATTCCACTTAGTTTCCTCTCCTGGGCTTTTAGAATATTTTGCACAGAGAGAAAAATGCAACTGGAATGTAGTCAGCCACTAAATCCTATTGAATGCCACTTCTTAAGAATTGCCTTAGAGTTTCAAGTGGGTCAGTTACTAAATGGAAGCTTCCTTGGATGTGAAGCAGTCTTAATTCATAAAGAATACTGTGAAAAAGGAAGAGGAAGGTTGTGCACCCTTTTTTGTGTAGTTAAAGTTCTAAAAGAGAAGCAGGAATAACAGGAAATTTGGAGCTTGTCTATAATCACATATTATGTGATTATGTAAAACTTTATGTGTAAAGATTCATCCTTGTGTACTAATCTCTCTGAATCTGATGTCAAGATTAATTGACTCTCTTGAGGGTTTATGCTTATTTCAATCAACAAATTCCATTGAGTGTATGTTAAAACAAGTGTCTATACAGTGTATCAGGTTGTGTTATTTTCTATGAAGAAAAAAAATGAAGGATGAAAGGTTTCATGGTTATTTGGGATTGAGTAAGGTGATCAGTCCTTTAGTGTTTGTTTACTAGACACTTAAATATTAAAATTCTGATATTTTCATGATTCATTGTCTCTTAACATTTAAAACTTTGATTCTGTTGAATTTTAGCTCTCTTTGACTGGCAGCACTTAATACTTTTTCCTCTTAGATAGAGCAGATTCTGAGTATAAATAACCGTTTATAGCAAATGGGCGTACAATTTTGTATTTGCCCCTGGTATTTTTTGCAGTATCTTGTGCTGGTATAAAGCTAAACACAGCAATAGATTACCAAATAATATTGTTTTATCTTCCCTTTTGTTAAAGGAGAAGTACTTGGAGCTTCACAATTAAAGAAGTTTGTGTGTATTATAAATTTATATATTAAGCCAAAACCAGATTTGGATGCTTTTCCTATTTTTGTTGCAGTGGGCTTCCTAAGGTTATTCATTGTTAGATTTGTAGACATACTTGTATTCTCTTCAATTTCGAAGTTGGAAAGTTTGAACTCCAATCAGGGCTTTGGTATAAACTTGAATTTTGAATGTTTTCCTTTTATAAGAAGGTTTTTGAAATAGTTTTGGTAGATCCCTGGAAGTGTTTTCAGATTTTATTCTTATATGTATGTGTATGTGCATTATCTTGGTTTATAACTCTCATGGCCTCTCTAAGCAGACTACTCAGCATTCAAGGTTTAGTCAGAGTTCCTCACTTTCCATAGTTGGATGAAGTCAAATCCGTAAATAGGAGTGTTATCTTTGTGTTTCATGCTGGAGTTTGAAGTCTATAGGAAGGTGGTCAGGCATGAGTAGTAGATTTAAAATAGGCAGGCTAGAACCCTAGCATGAGCTGAAACCCAGGAAGGATGGGCTGGAACCATGTAATAATTGTTGCCCCTGGCCTTGACCATGTATCCTCAGAAGCTGATGCACTTCATCATGGAACTAAACACGCACATGACATAAGAGAAGCTGAAAGGGGATCCATGAGAAGTTAGAGTAATTGCAAGTCTGATGCTGCCCCATGCTGTCAAACTGAATCAGCAGATAAAATGCATTATGTGAGAGGCACAAAATGGCTTTTGCTTCATTTTCACTTTTTTTTTTTTTTTTTTTGACAGGCAGAATGGACAGTGAGAGAGAGAGACAGAGAGAAAGGTCTTCCTTTTTCTGTTGGCTCACCCCCCAATGGCCACTGTGGCCGGCGCACCACGCTGATCGGAAGCCAGGAGCCAGGTGCTTCTCCTGGTCTCCCACGCGGGTGCAGGGCCCAAGCACTTGGGCCATCCTCCACTGCACTCCCAGGCCACAGCAGAGAGCTGGACTGGAAGAGGAGCAACCGGGACAGAACGGCGCTCCGACTGGGACTAGAACTCGGTGTGCTGGCGCCGCAGGAGGAGGATTAGCCTATTGAGCTGCAGTGCCGGCCCATTTTCACTTTCTAAATCTTACACAGGAATGTCTTTTGTGTCCTACCCTACTTAGAAATTTATAGAACAGGGAATTCTGGGAAATGTAGTTTGATATATCCAAGTCTACACATTACAAATATATGTGTGTGTATGAGTCCAAGACTTGATAGCTGGGGTTAAATGTATAGACTGGTTGGACCACCTGTTCTTACAGAAATAGTTTAATTGGAACACAGTGTTTCTCATTTGTTTACATGTTGTGTAGTTTTTTGCTACCAACACTGAATTGAATAGTTGCACTAGTAGCTGTCTAGCATACAAAACTTAAAGTATTTACTATTTGACCTTTTAAGAGCAAGTTTGCTGACCTTGGTCTGCAGGAACTAAGAGATTCTATAACTCCCAGAGCAAGGGTATCTAGAAACACTTCTCAGAATCTCCAGAACATTGTATTTATCCCAAAGAAGTTTTGCTAGTTTATATTTCCTTTTTATAAGCATTCTTGTTAAAATTTTTTCTTTCTTTATGCATATTTTTGTTTTTGTGGTATTGATCAGAAATAGGATGAAAGTTATATATAAAAATATTGATTAATCTATTCAACTGCATATTCATCATGTTTTTTCCTATAAGCTTTATTATCTAACTATGTTGTATTTTTTTCCTTTAAATTTTGATTCCTCAGCTTATCATTATAGTTGTTAAGATGTGCTAATATCCTAGGGTTGCTATGATAAAGTTTACTGCAAACCAGGTGGCTTAAACCACAGCAACAAAAAATACTTAGAAGTTTACTCCTCCACAGATCTGGAATCCAGAAGTCTGATATCAAGGTGTGGTGGTAGGCAGGGTTGAGTCCTTCTGGGCTCAGAGGTAGAATGTTCCATGGCTGCCTTGCTTTTGCCTGCAATCTTTGGTATTCCTTGGTTTGTGGCAGCATAACTCTAACCTCTGCCTTCTTTGTTACATAGTGTTCTCTCTGTGTGTTGTCTGCATTTGTCCTTTTCTTTCTTTCTTTTTTTCCTTTAAAGATTTATTTATTTATTTGAAAGGCAGAGTTACAGAGAGGCAGAGAGAGAGAGCGTGCAAGGTCTTCCATCCACTGGTTCTTTTTTTTTTTTTTTTAAAGATTTATTTATTTATTTGAAAGGCAGAGTTACAGAGACACAGAGGCTTAGGGCCGGCTCTGTGGTGTAGTGGGTAAAGCTGCCATCTGCAGTGCCAGCATCCCATATGGGTGCCCTTTTGAGACCCAGCTGCTCCACTTCCTATTCAGCTATCTGCTATGGCCTGGGAGAGCAGTAGAAGATGGCCCAAGCCCTTGGGCTCCTTTAACTGCCTGGGAGAACTGGAGGAAGTTCCTGGCTCCTGGCTTTGGATAGGCGCAGCTCTGGCCATTGCGGCCAATTGGGGAGTGAACCAGCAGATGAAAGACCTCTCTCTCTCTCTCTCTCTCTCTCTCTCTGTGTGTGTGTGTGTGTGTAACTCTGACTTTCAAGTAAAATAACTAAATCATAGAGAGAGAGAGAGAGAGAGAGAGAGAGAGACAGGCAGAAGGCAGAAGCAGAGAGAGAGAGAGTTCTTCCATTCACCGGTTCACTCCCCAAATGGCCCCAACTGTCAGAGCTGGACTGATCCAAAACCATGAGCCAGGAGCTTCTTCTGAGTCTCCTACATGGGTGCAGGGGCCCAAGCACTTGTGCCATCTTCTACTGTTTTCCTAGGCCATAGCGGAGAGCTGAATCGGAAGTGGAGCAGCCAGGTCTCAAACTGGTGCCCATTTGGGATGCTGGCACTGCAGGTGGACATAGCTCGGGGCCTGTTCTTCTTTTCTAAGGATACCAGTTATGTTGGATTCATGCCCACTCTGATGACTTCATATTAACTTGATTATATCTACAAAGATCCTAACTCCAAATAGGGTCACATTCACAGATATTGGGAATTAGGGCTTCAACATGTTTTTTGGGGGGACACAATTTAAATCTTTGCACTAGAATTTATATTTACTGAACACCATATATGACTTTCTTAGCAGCTTTCTCTAAGCTGTGCCATATTTTTTGTGCCACACAAAAAAATGTGGGAATGATCCCTAAGCATCCCAAGTATCTGAAGCATAAGTGTGTACTTCATGAAAAATGAATTGAACAGATATAACAGATTCTATATTTAGAAATTAAGACTAACATTGTATATATAGTTTTCACATGTTTAGATGGACTAATATATGATTTATTACTAGTTTTTCCTACAAGGGTACTAAACTGCTGTTGATAAGTCAGTAGTAGTTAGTGACATTTTTAGTATGGCTGTTATAAACAAGGAGCTGTCTTAGGTGTCAAGATATTCAATGGATAGAATCCCTTTTTAGGAAAGGTAAATTTACATATTTATTTATTTTTAAAATGAACATTGAGTTCTTTAAAAATACTTTAAAATTTGTCTTCATTTTATTTGCAAAGCAGAGATAGAGATAGGGATGGAGGGGAGAAAGGAAGGAAAGGAGGGAGAGAGAGAAGTGAACAGATGGGGAGGGGAGACAAGAGACAGAGACCTTCTATCTCCTGGTTTACCCTTCACATGTCTGTAACAGTCAAGGCTGGGCCAGGCAGAAACCAGGATTCTGGAACTCCATCTGCATCTGTCACACGGGTGGCCATCATCTGCTTCCTCCAAGAATGTGCATCAGCAGGAAACGGATTGGAAGTAGAGTAGCTGGGTCTTGAACCAGGTACCCCGATATGGGATAAAGCATCCCAAGCAGTAAGATGCTATCCCAAATGTCTACCCCTGAATTGACATATGATTAACTGATATTATAAATATTAGGGAACTTGGAATAAAGGAGTAATTAGTGTAGTTTAGCTTAGAAAGTAAAATGTTCCACTTACTTTAGAATATAAGATATTTTTCTTTCTTCATATTTTGCCCCTGGGAAATGAAATGATTGTATAGGGTGAATGGAAATATGAGGGGAAAAAAGGCCATCAGATATTTTCATGATCTCTGGGGGAGATTTCCGGATATTTGTTAGTTAGAATATTGTTATTTTTAATTATCATGTACCTAAGATGGTGCTCAGTTGATGAAAAGATTATTGGTGATAAGGAATATCTGTATAGTGGTTCTGCAGTTACTGTTGACATTTTTGTTAAGTAGGTTGGTGTTTTCTCCTCTTTGCCTTGTAGGCTAGAAAAGTAAGTGCTTTAAGAAAAAAGACTCATGCCATTGGATCGGCGCGGTGCGCTGGCCGCAGCGTGCCAGCCGTGGTGGCCATTGGAGGGTGAACCAATGGCAAAGGAAGACCTTTCTCTCTGTCTCTCTCTCACTATCCACTCTGCCTGTCAAAAAATAGATAAATAAATAAATAAAAAGAAAAAAAAAAGAAAAAAGAACTTTGGGCAGCTAGCTACAAAATGTTGGTAATAAACTGACTTGAACTGAAGGTTTAATTCCTGGTCTTTAATAAACCATCTCTATCCTTCTCTAGTGAAGAATTCATACTTATATAACAGGTTGTCTTGGCTGAGTCAGAGCTGAAATGAGAAGTTAAGCAATATTCCATTGGATCTTTCATGGGTGCTTTGGGTGGGCAATGTCCTTAACTGTCCCAAAAAATTTAGGGTCACAAAAGCTTGCACCTAGCCATGTCTCCTGTTAGTCTGATGTCGCTCCCCCTCTTCGTGGAGGAACGACACTAAGCCCTGCCTAGGCTTCATATCCGAGTCACGGCACCATTATGTCGCTCCCCCTCTTCGTGGAGGAACGACACAGGACCCTGCGCTGTTCTTTCGTCTGCTCGGCCCTCCCTGGGTTTGCTGCTGGTTCTTCCCGGGTTGGCTACTGTCCCTTCCACCTCCGTGGAAGGGCGGTTCCCCCTGGCCACATTCCCCACTTCCGCAGGGGAGCGGCACACCGCCGGCCGGCTCTCTCGGGGGCTGCACAGGTGTTCCCCTTAGATGTTCCTCTTAGATGTTCCTGGTGCATGCCGTCTCTCTCCTCCTTTATAGTCCTCCTCCGCCAATCCCAACTCGGCTGCCCACACGCCAAGCACGCTGCTCTCCTCCAATCAGGAGCAAGTCCTACAGTTTATTGGCTGAACTGGAGGCAGCTGTGTAGAAGCTGTTTTCTTCTCTCCCAGCGCCATATTGTGGGAGAGCAGATGCATAGAATAAGTCTTAATTCCAGTAACAGTATAGTCCGAGTTGCTCCCCACAGATCCCCCTTTCTTTTTATTTTTTGGCGTTGATACGCGCCTGTCTTCGGTGTCCCGCGGCACACACTCTGCTCTACTTGCTAGAGTTGCCACAGGTTCTTACAAGTCCTATCAATCAGGCAAACCGAATCCGGGTCCTCTCTTCGCCATGTTGTGAGGAGGTTTTTAGGCGCTGATGCGTGCCTGTCTTCGGTGACCTGCGGCTCATACTCTGGTCGAGCCGCCTGCTGGTGCTTACCGCCTTACCAATCAGGCAGACCGAATCCAAGCCTTCTCATTGCCATATTGTGGGGAGGCCCATTGGTGTTGATTCGTGCCTATCTTCGGTGACCTGCAGCTCATACTCTGGTCGAGCCGCCTGCTGGTGCTTACCGCCCTAATCAGGCAGACCGAATCCAAGCTCTCTCATTGCCATGTTGTGGGGTGACTTATTGGTGTTGATAATGTGCCTGTCTTCGGTGACCTGCGGCGCATAAGCTGCTAGCCGCCCGCAGGTGCTCATCGCCTCACTAATCAGGCAGACCGAATCCAAGCCTTCTCATTGCAGTATTGTGGGGAGGCCTTTCTATTTCTCTATTTCTCTATCTCCGGGCATTCCTATTTCTCCCATTTTACTTCTATCTTCCAGCATTCCTATTTCTCTCATTTTACTTCTATCTTCCAGCATTCCTATTTCTCTCATTTTACTTCTAAACTTCTGTTTCTCTTATCCCCGCGGCTTCCCGGCGCCCGCCCCGAGGCTGCTTCACGGCTCTGCCACTAGTATTCAATCTAAGTTCCCCGGGCTAACCTGGCGAATTCAACCCAGCTCACGTCTCCGCCCCACGATTTGGCTTCCCATCCTTTGCTCCCCGGGCTAATCAGACGGATCCCAACCGGGCTTACGTTTCCGCTTCTGGTTTTAACTTTTCGCCCCCTATTCCCGGGCTAACTTGAGAATCCCAAAGTGGCTTTCGTCTCCGCCTTGGCCTGCCCCCACAGCTTCAATTTCCCTAACATTTTTCTCTACCCGGTATGTTTCCCCAAGCTTTCCTCCAACAATGCTCCTCCCTCATTTCTCCTGGCCTCTCCCCACAGTCCGCATCCGAGTCTGTTTGTTCTAGCTTTCACTTTCGCTTTCAACCTTAGAGATTTCTCCCAGCTTCCCCCCGTAGTCCGTATCCGAGTCTATGCCTAGGCTTTCAATAGCTTTTTCCGGCACCTTTTTCGTCCGGCTTTTCCCTAGGCTGTTTGCTAGTCTCTCTCTCCGATATTTTCCCATTTCTTCCCGTTTCTTCCCTCCTAAGTTTCCTATCCGTCCTAGGTTTCCTATCCGAGTCACGGCACCATTATGTCGCTCCCCCTCTTCGTGGAGGAACGACACTAAGCCCTGCCTAGGCTTCATATCTGAGTCACGGCACCATTATGTCGCTCCCCCTCTTCGTGGAGGAACGACACAGGACCCTGCGCTGTTCTTTTGTCTGCTCGGCCCTCCCCGGGTTTGCTGCTGGTTCTTCCCAGGTTGGCTACTGTCCCTTCCACCTCCGTGGAAGGGCGGTTCCCCCTGCCACATTCCCCACTTCCGCAGGGGAGCGGCACACCGCCGGCCGGCTCTCTCGGGGGCTGCACAGGTGTTCCCCTTAGATGTTCCCCTTAGATGTTCCTGGTGCATGCCGTCTCTCTCCTCCTTTATAGTCCTCCTCCGCCAATCCCAACTCGGCTGCCCACACGCCAAGCACGCTGCTCTCCTCCAATCAGGAGCAAGTCCTACAGTTTATTGGCTGAACTGGAGGCAGCTGTGTAGAAGCTGTTTTCTTCTCTCCCAGCGCCATATTGTGGGAGAGCAGATGCATAGAATAAGTCTTAATTCCAGTAACAGTATAGTCCGAGTTGCTCCCCACAGTCTGATACATATGGACCACATGGAACAGATAGATTTTATCTACAATTGTGCTTTTTTTTTTTTTTTTGACAGGCAGAGTGGACAGTGAGAGAGAGAGAGAGAGAGAAAGGTCTTCCTTTGCCGTTGGTTCACCCTCCAATGGCCGCCGCGGTCAGCGCGCTGCGGCCGGCGCACTGCGCTGATCCGATGGCAGGAGCCAGGAGCCAGGTGCTTTTCCTGGTCTCCCATGGGGTGCAGGGCCCAAGCACTTGGGCCATCCTCCACTGCACTCCCTGGCCACAGCAGAGAGCTGGCTTGGAAGAGGGGCAACCGGGACAGAATCCGGCTCCCCAACCGGGACTAGAACCCAGTGTGCCGGTGCCGCTAGGCGGAGGATTAGCCTAGTGAGCCGCGGCGCCGGCCAATTGTGCTTTCTTAAACTGGGGTAAAACAATCAGATTGCAGAGAGAGATAGTAGATTCCCAAGGAGAAACAAGTAGGATCCTGGTCAGTGAGCCAGATCTTGCCATTTGGCCTGGGTATCAGAAAGGAGCATTGATCTAGCCAGTCTACAGCCTTCTCACTTCACACACAATTGTAAATCTGCAAACACGACACTGAAAATCATATGATTAGGAATTCCAATTCTTTTTCAAACTACCTACCTATTTAAAGGAAGGCTTTTCTGTACATAAGATTCCTCTAGAGATAGAAACTGGGCTGTGGGTGAGAATATGAAGTGAAGAATAAGGTCTAGTCACTTTTAAATGAAGTTTTTATGCCAAGGATTTAGAGGCATGATATTGTTGGAATAACTTCATAGAATGCTCAGGTTGATGGGCCTAGGGAACCTTCAGGTTGTACATGTTTTCAGAGATTTAATGATGCCGTTATAATTTTTAGTTTTGATTATATAATTATGAAATAAAGTAACATGTATATTTCAGCCTAGTTACTCTGGACTAAAATTCTTTTTTTTTTAATTTAAAAAAAATTTTCTTTTTTATTTTTTGACAGGCAGAGTGGACAGTGAGAGAGAGAGACAGAGAGAAAGGTCTTCCTTTTGCCGTTGGTTCACCCTCCAATGGCCGCCGCAGCCGGTGCACTGCGGCCTGCGCACCTCGCTGATCCGATGGCAGGAGCCAGGTGCTTCTCCTGGTCTCCCATGGGGTGCAGGGCCCAAGCACTTGGGCCATCCTCCACTGCACTCCCTGGCCACAGCAGAGAGCTGGCCTGGAAGAGGGGCAACCGGGACAGAATCTGGCTCCCCGACCAGGACTAGAACCCCGTGTGCCAGCGCTGCAGGCAGAGGATTAGCCTAGTGAGCCGCGGTGCCGGCCGTGGACTAAAATTCTTAGAGCTGGGAATTGATAAGATTAATGTGAAGGTGAATGCTTTGAAAGTTTAAAATGAGTATCATGAGTTTAGGTAAGGCATCACTTTATTACTTTTGAACTCATTTTCCCATTAGTAAAATAAATAATCAAGTAAATAAGTAAAATAAAATAATAAAGTTAATCTTTATCTGCAGTATAGAGTGATGACATTGGTACCATTAAGTAAAATGATGTACAGTCATGGCTACATAGTTTTGTAAAAGTGCTTGATGATGTTGGGACCCCTGTCCTTTACTACTAGGTATTCGCTTTCCTAAAGACAGGAAAGAAAAGGATTCTAGAGTGAACTTGTCCCACTCCTTGGGAGCTTCCAGTTGTGTTATGAGAATAGCAAGGGAGTGGCAATTCTACCCTTCTGAGCTCTGTTTACTGTGAAAGCAAGTTACCTTTTTGGGGGTCCTGCCCTTCCAGGATGGCTCCTTTATCATGAGTAAGCCAGACAGGGCAAATAAGATTACAAATCAGGTCTTTTGATGGGTTTTGTTCCTGCTTTGTAACTGTTAGCTTCTTCCAGTTTTTTCCCCCATCAAAATTGTGCTTAGAAACCCCACTACCATTAGTCTCTTTGGTGTAGCCTCTCTTGGAGCTCCCCTCCAGACCACTCTGGCTGGAGGTTTCTGACTTAAATAAATTTTGCTTTTCTAGAAAGAAAAAAAAAAAAGTGAATCTGTTAACCTGTTCTGTTGAATAAGATAGTACCTAAAAATTAGTCCTGATGGATATAGCAGGTGCTGTTAATGCCTGTTCATGCACCTTTAGCTTTAAACTTCAGTGCATGCACCCATCTCCAGTTGCCAGCACTTTCACCTCTTTGCTTATGGGCTTTCTCTGGAAGCCAGAAAGGGAGAATTAATGCCACCTCTTCTCCCCTCCTGCCTTCTGCTTCAGTAATGCTCAATCAATATCTCATGGATGGAGGTGTGTAAATATCTCAGCTCCTTTACTTATCAGGTAGGAGGATGATATAGAATACCTCTGAGGCAGGTATTCTATGTCATTTTTGAGTTTCCCATGGAATTGAGTTTTACTTGGCCTACCTTGCTTAAAAGCATATCCCTTTTGAGTTCCTTCTCTCTCTTTTATTTCCTCATTTCCCTACTAGTCTTTCAAGGCTTCCTTTCCCAAATAAATTCCTTGGATTCAAAATTCCTGTCTCAGGTTCTGTTTCTGGGGTAACCTAAAATAAGATAGCATCAATAACAGTGAACAGTCTGGACTCTGTTCCTATATGAACTCAGTAGGAAATGTGCATTTCTAATGGCTCCAAGACAAAACATATAGCCATGACTGTCACAGAAGTCCAGCTACTCTCTGTTTTACCTTCCCTAAAGAATACATACCCACACTTTGGCTGTGGTGAGGGAGAAACAGTTGCTTGGCTGTGAAGTTAGAAATGTAGACTTGGAGCCCGATTCCTTCTTAAGCAGACTTTCAGCTAAAGCCCTTTCAAACTTCATTTTCTGTCTTCCCTTCCTGAGGTACCTAGTGCTTCCAATGTAATATAAGTCAGGCTACCTCTTGACATTCTCCACTACTTGCTTTGTCTGACTACCCACTGGACCAGCTTCCAAAATTTTGTTGCTCTTGGTTCTTCTCTTTTAGTTGATTTGGTGGGATTTTGTCTTGTGGAAAAGGCTGTTTAGTTTTGTTTTAGTGGAGTTGTGAATATGTGTGCTGAGTGTACATGTTCAATCTTCCGTCTTTAAGTTGAAATGTAAAATTACTGTTCACCAAAGAAAATTGAATAAAGTAAGGCTGAACAGCCAGCAGTATTGAACAAAATGATAGGTGACATAAAATACCCCAATAGTTAACAATTTGTATATTTGTGGGTTTTTTTTAAAGATTTATTTATTTATTTAAAAGGCATAGTTACAGAGAGGCAGAGGCAGAGGCAGAGAGAGAGAAGTCTTTCATCCACTGGTTCACTCCCCAGATGATTGCAGTGGCCAGAGCTGCACCCATCCAAAGCAAGGAGTGCGGAGCTTCTTCCTGATCTCCCATTCAGGTGCAGGGGCCCAAGCATTTGTGCCTTCTTCTTCTTCTTCCTTCTTCCTTCTTCCTTCTTCCTTCTTCTTATTCTTCTTCTTTTTTTTTTAACTTATTTGACAGGTAGAGTTAGACAGTGAGAGAGAGAGAGAGACAGAGAGAAAGGTCTTCCTTCCATTAGTTCACCCCTCAGATGGCTGCTACGGCTGGCGCTGCACAGATCCGAAGCCAGGAGCCAGGTGCTTCCTCCTGGTCTCCCACGCGGGTGCAGGTGCTCAGTCACCAGGGCCATCCTCCACCGCCCTCCCGGAGCTGGACTGGAAGAGGAGTAACCGGGACTAGAAAATAGTGCCCATATGGGATGCCGGTGCCTCAGGAAGAGGATTAGCCAAGTGAGCCATGGCGCTGGCCCCCTTGCGCCATCTTCTTCTGCTTTCCCCAGGCCATAGCAGAGAGCTGGGTTGGATGTGGAACAGCTGGAACACGAACCGGCATCCATATGGGATGCTGGCACTGCAGGCGGTGGCTTTACCCACTACACCACAGTGCCAGCTTCAACAATTTGTATATTTCTGGCATCTGAGAAAAAAACATGTCAAATGGTTATTTCTTTCTATGCTGTCCATAAAGTACTTTTGAGTAAGAAGAAGCACAAATGTGGAAGTTGGAGAAGAAACTGAAGATTTTGTGACTTCAGTGTGTATGGGTATGTATGCTCTATTTGTGTAGGATATTTTGTACTGAATATCATCATTTGGAGTATAAGTATCGTTTATATGTTGTACAAGTCCTTTTTTTTGTAGTTAGGAGGAACAAGACTATAATACTTAACTGTTGCTTACATGAGAAGTTTAAGGGTTTGAACATAAATAATTTAGAAAGTTTGGCTACTTTTACTAATGGAATAAATAAATAATTCAGAGTCTTGCTTATGACTACATAGTAATCTCAGAACATAATCTTAATCCTTTCTCTCTGAATCCTAGGCTTTTCTAGATAGACACAGTGGAAAAAAAATCTTCCTTATTCATGTTACTCTACCTCTGTTGATTATCAGATCATAATTGTACATTTTATCAATTAGTGCTTTTTTTCTAAGAGAGTATCTCCCTCCCTCTACCCCATGGTACTGACTGTTTTATTATATCTTAAAACTTACTAGTTCAGTAAGTTTTGTATATGGCATGTTTATTAAGTTACAAAATTCTGTGGGTGGTTTTTCATTTGTTCCTTATACTCAAAAGACTGAGCTACCTTAGGAAATCCACTTTCCCCCACTCCAGACTTCATCTATGATGGAACTTAAAAGAAAAATTCTTGGCTGAGCCTGAATACTTTAGAACCAGCTAAGTGGTTTTCTCTGTCTGGAGAAAATTGGGAAAAGGGAATTATTAAGCCCAGCAAATGTAGTTGTTGATGGAAATGCTGACAGACTGGTCCTGCTTGGTGCCACTGTCATGAGAAGTCAGTCAGTATTAACTGTATTGTCAAAAGCTGCTGCTTATGTACAAGTTGTGTCTTGTAGGCCTTGTCACATATAAATAAACCCATTCAAAAAATGTTAAGTGATTTCCATAAAAAACATTTATTCTGTTCTCATTCTTAAGCCAAATACTTGTTGTTTATGGCTTCCTGTACCCAACAGTTCCTGATTGTCTCAAAAAGCAAAACATGTCCTGCGTGGATTAAGCTGCTGAAATGCCTTTCAGGCATTGTTTATGAGTCTGCCCTCTTTATTTTCAGAGAGAAAGCGAATACTTTAATGTCTTCCATATTCCATAAATCTGTCCCATGCTACAATTCAAAGCTGTGTGTGTTTTTGTTAGAAGGTACTTCTGGTTGTACTTAGAGTGGAAAAGCTGCCTAAGAATGTTAGCGAATATTTGGGTGGTGGTGGCAGACTCCCCTAAAGGGGATTTAGTACTGGTTGAAAGTGCTGTTGGTTTTTTGGCTTAAGGAAGCAGTTACTAAAGGTGCTTTTACAGTTAGTAGTAATGTAGCCACTCTTTGATTGCTTTGCACCAGTGTTTCCTGTTTGGCTCATCCTTTGGGACCAGTCTTCCCTCTGGGCAAGCTTGCTAATTTACCACTTCTGACTCCACTGCTAAGTAGCATACAGAGTGTGCCTGTCTAGTGGTCTGAATAGAGGGAAAGTGTCTTTACTTGCCATAAATGAGAATATCTCTGGAGACTGAGCAAAAAGTAATTTGAAGTGGAGATCAAATTTACTATTTTTTTCACATTTTATTTGGTAAAATTCTGAACACACAGAAAAGTTGGAAGAATTATAGTTACCATCCATACTTATCTACTTTCTACTATCTATAATCAATACCTAATGATACCTGTTTTATTATATTTTTTCATCTATTATCCATCAACCCATCATATCATTTTCTTTTTATAATTATTATTTATTTATTTGAGACACAGAGCTCCCAACTGTTGGCTCGTTCCATAAATTCCTGCAATGGCCTGAGCTAGGCTGGGTTGTAAGCAGTAAGCTGAGAACTCAGTCCAGTTCTCCCATAAGGACAGCAGGAATCCATCTTTCCAAATCCCTAGAAGGAATCACTGCTGCCTTACAAGGTTAGCATAAACAGGAAGCTGGAGTCAGGAGCTGGAGCCAGCCATCCAACCCAGGAACTCTGATGTGAGATGTGGACATCTTAACTGCCAGGCTAAAGGCCTGCCCTATCATCATGTCATTTTGTGCATTTCAAAGTAAGTTTGAAAAATCAGTACACTCATCTCTCAACACTAGTATGCATACATTAATGAGAGCCTACTATCTGTTTATTTTTTCTTTTGATGTAAAATTTAAATACTGCAGTATGTAATCTGAAATGGGTTTTTGACAAATGTGTACACAGCCCTTATTAATACACAGATCACTACCATCACCCAGAAAGTTTTCTCATGCCCTTGTGTACCCAGTTCTCTCCCCTTACTCATTTTCATTAATGAGTAGTATTTCCAAGTATGAATTTAACTATTTGTTTATTCATTCTGCTATTGATGGACAACATAGTATGTTTCAGTTTGTGTCTAGAGATTAAAGCTACTGTGAATGTCTTTATATACACCTGTTTATGAACATATGCTTCATATCTCTTGGGTAAATTAACCAAGCAGTAGCATTTTGGGTCTGAATTTTATGAGATAATGTCAAATATTTTTAGAAAGTAGTTCTACCATTTTACTTCTTCAATTAATGTATGAAAGTTTCAGTTTCTCTGCCTCCTTGCTAACATTATTTGTTGTCAGTCTTTTAAATTTTATTTTGGTGGGTATGAGGTGCTGTCTCATGTGGTCAACATTTATTTTAGGGTTATCTTGGGAAATGAAGAATAAGAGATAGAAGGTACATAAAAACAAATTGCAGTGGCCCAGGGAGTGAGTTTTCTGCCATACTATGGGACATGGGTAAACCACTAGATGAAGAAAATACCAAGAAGGGGCCAGCACCGTGGCTTACTAGGCTAATCCTCCGCCTGTGGTGCCAGCATCCCATATAGGCGCTGGGTTCTAGTCCCAGTTGCTCCTCTTCCAGTCCATCTCTCTGCTGTGGTCCGGGAAGGCAGTGGAGGATGGGCCAAGTGCTTGGGCCCTGCACCCCATGGGAGACCAGGAGGAAGTACCTGGCTCCTGGGTTTGGATCGGTGTAGCTCTGGCCGTAGCGGCCATTTAGGGGGTGAACCAATGGAAGGAAGACCTTTCTCTCTGTCTCTCTCTCTCACTGTCTAACTGTATCTGTCAAAAAAAATATTAAAAGAAAACGCCAAGAAAAACAGGACAAAAAGATGGAGCACCTACCTGAGGAATAGCAGGACCAAAGTCACTTCAGGGATTTGGAAAGAAGAATTACTGACTTGGAAAATTAAATTTAGTTGACCCCCTCCCTCATTATGAAAGTACTTTATTAATTAACTAATGAGAGAGGGAGAGAGAGAGAGAGAGAGCGCGCGTGCGTGAGCGCTTCCCCATCTGCTGGTTTACTCCCCAAACGTCCACAATGGCTGAGTGTGGTGGGGAAGCTGGGAGCTGGGAACTCAGTTGGCAGTGGCCAATTGTAGCCTTCACCACTGCCTCCCAGAGTTCTCAGTAGCAGGAAGCTAGAATCAGGAGCAGGAGCCAAGGGTTGAAACCAGATACTCTGATGTAGCATATGAGCATCCGACTGGCATCTTAAGTATTAATTTAATAATATTTATTATTAAAACTTGTATAGAGGTATAAATAAACAGGAATGTAAATGAAAAGGCTATAATTTATATGTATTGCTCAAGCCCATTATTGCAAGTGTGTATATACTGATATGCAAGTATAGATAAATAAATGATTCTCATTAACCTATAGATGAAAATCTAAACTATCTCACCAAAATGTTAACAGTGGTTATCTGTAGGTAGTGGGATTCTTTCATTCCTGTTAACATTATTATATACATATTTGCAAAAATGGGCTTGAACCAAACTTATAAATTATAGCCTTTTCATTTACATCTTGGATACATTTAATGTCCATAGTATAAATCTACTAAACCAATTTAAAAAGTTTGTTATGTATATATCATAAATTAACTATTCCTCTATTATTGGATTTTGGATTATTTCTAACTTTTTTAAAGCAGCTATTTTTTTGGAGAATTTGCTAAGTATAACTTGCTGGGTGGGCAGAGTTGAGGCAGGTAGAGAACCTGAAATGCAAAAGACATAGTTTTGCCTTCTAGGAACTCATTATTCAGTGAAACTGAATCAGATGCCAAAGTCAGTCTTTTTCGTAGTGAGCTATTAAGGGACTGTGTTGTGATTTGTACAAAAACTCTTAAGTAAGACTTAGTGTGTCTCTGTTGCTGGTTAGTCCTGTGTGAGTATATCTGGGCTGCAAATTTTGATAGAGTTTAGTATTCGAACAAGTATAATAAGTAAGTTGTCATTATAAATAGAAAACTGTGCCTTTCATTTTCAAATGTTATTCCATAGAACACTAGAATTGTGTGAGAATTGTACAGGGGTTCATTGAGAGAAAGTGAAATCTCACAATTGGACATGGAAGCCTGGTGTATAAACAGTATCATGGAGTAGCTTTATAACCTTCCTGCTGTGGACATCCAATTAAGACGGTTTTCTCCCACAGTTTTCTTTTCATTGTGTTTATGCAGTCAGAACCAAATCAGTTCAGATATTAATACTCAGTAACTTGTCACTCTATGAGTTACATCTTTTAAAATTATTGATAGAATAGTTCTGTTTTTTCCCCTCTGTCTCTTGTGGTCACCCTGATGGTAATACAAACGCATAATCTATCCTTTCACAATTTATTTTCAATATGAAGCTTACTAAAAGCTCAGTAAGAGTTTTCTTACAGAAGAGGTAACGGTTAAATTTACAAAGAGGAAAACGGGAATATAATATAAAAAGAAAAATGACAAAATATGTCTAGGAGTTTGTGTACTTTTTGTCTTACTACTGTCTGAATTTTATCTGGTTTAAATTGTGTTCCTCACCTCCTGGGATTTTGTTTCTTGAACAGAATAAATAATAAGTCTGTCTATCCATTTGTGGAAAAGAAATCTTAGGAAAAAAGAGCAGATGGTTGGAGCCATTGTGTTTCTTACCCAGCTGGGAAGGATACTATTTTCAAATGTTATTTCCACTGTGTTTAATACGGCTCAAGGGCCTTTTTCTAGCACCTTTTTTATTTGGCCATGTGTTTTGCCCAGCTCATGGTGGGATAGAGAACTCTGGTCAAGATTTTGATTCTAGGAATTAACCAGCCATTGTGACTAGTAAGATTAAGAGCCTTCTCAGACAGATTGTATTTTTTTTTTTTAAAGATACTCTGGTTAGAAGAAATAACTTTATGAGCTGAAACTGGACCTTCCTTCTGTTTCATGATCAGTGAAGAGAAGGGACTTAGAAGGGTTATAACTTTATAAATGGGTGTATACCTCTGAAGCCAAAAGTATTTTTAGTTTATATTGGTTTTAATAAATTAAGATTACAGTATTGTTGTGGCTAGTGTCTTTTAGGAAATCCATTTAAGAAATTCCCTTTCTTACCAGCTACATTCTATCTACTTATTCTGAAGTTTTGAGTCATGGAGCTAGTTTTTATTTTATGATTGAAATGTCTGTGGCTGCCATTTTTTTTAAAGTCACATTTCACTTTAATAAAAAACCTACACTGCTAAGGTTACTATCTGCATTATTAAATCCTGCATGTGCATGGGTATGATTCGTAGAGATTCCCTGAACTTGCATTTGTCTTCAAACAACACCACTTTGCCACCATTAACCCTATTCAAAAACATGCTCTTCAAATGTTCTGAGCAACTGTGACAAAACGGGAGCAACCCTCAAGGTCCCCTCTTTGGAGGAAACAGAAATCACGGAGCCAGGGGTGGGCATTGTGGCGTTATAGGTTTAGCTGCCACTTCAGACACCCATATCTGCTATCAGAGCACTGGTTCAAGTGCTGGCCACTTTCCTTCTGATCCAGCTCCTTGCTGATGTGCCTGGGAGGCGGCAGTTGATGGCTCACGTCCTTGTGCCCCTGCAACTTGCATGAAAGACCTGGATGGAGCTCCAGACTCTGGGCTTCTGCCTGACCCAGCCCTGGCTGTCACAGGCATTTAGGGAGTGACCCAGTAGATGCAAGCTCTTCATCTCTCACTTGCTCTCTGTCATTCTGCCTTTCGTGTGGGTGAAAAATAAACTTTTTATTTTTTTTTTTTTAAAGAAAGAATTCAACAGGTTAAGTCCTTATCCTACCTACTTCACCCCTTCCTTGGTAGTGTTTTTGACAACCTAATGCTTTCAAACTGTCTAAACTATAATGAATCCCAAATGCAGGTAGCTAACATTTTATACAGTTCCATTGAAGTATAGAGTTGATTTAAGCATTAACTCTCTGAATTTGACAAATGCTTTCATTGTTTTTACTCAATATGTTATCCTGTTTGTCCATACATGTTGGAATTTTAGGGATAGATCAGAATTGGATAAGAATTAGTACACATTATTGCTTTCTTTTCAAGAGGTTCATTCATTCAACGTTAATTGAAAGTCTATATCAGTGGCTGGCGCTGTGGCTCACTTGGCTAATCCTCCGCCTGTGGCACTGGCATCTCGGGTTCTAGTCCTGGTTGGGGTGCCGGGTACTAGTTCTGGTTGCTCCTCTTCCAGTCGAGCTCTCTGCTGTGGCCCAGGAGGGCACCGGAGGATGGCCCAAGTGCTTAGGTCCCTGCACCCGCATGGGAGACCAGGAGGAAGTACCCGGCTCCTGGCTTTGGTTCGGCGCAGCGCCGGCCGTAGCGGCCATTAGGGGAGTGAACCAATGGAAGGAAGACCTTTGTCTCTGTCTCTCATTCTCTATGACTCTCTCGCTGTCTCTCTCTCTCACTGTCTAACTCTGCCTGGCAAAAGAAAAAAAAGAAAGTCTATATCATAATCAAGTTTTGTATTTGAGATTCATAATCAAGTTTTGTATTTGAGATTAAAAGACTTACAAGACTCTTGCCTTTAAGATTTAGAACCACAGAAGCTTGACAGACTGATCAGTGACAAAGGTATGCTACCTTGCTGGATGTGTGTATGCTCACAGAGGCATCTACACCAGATTGAGATAAATTTGGAGGGTGAATATGAGTTGGCCAGAAAATTAGGGTAAGATCCTGTTCCAGGTAGAGGAAATATTCTGTTCAGGGCTTGGAGGTTTGTGTTCAAGAACTTTAAGTAGTTCACTGAGGCCTGTATGAAAGGGTATGTTTGTGGAAATGTATCAAAAGATGGAAACAAAGAAGTGTGCTGCAAACAGGTGATGATAGACTATATTCTATGTTAACAGGACTGGAATTTTACCCTTAAAGTTAACATTGCAGGTTTGAAGGAAGGCATAGACTTGTGAGAGTTGTGGATAGACAAGGTTCCCTAGAGAGAGGTTAGAGGCTAGATTAAAGAAGGAACAGTCTGGAGGCAGGAACTCCCCCAGCCCATGCTGAGGATCCACAGCCTTAAAGCTAAAGATGAAGAATAGTGACTTTTTCATTCTTGATTTCTTTGTCTTTTTTCTTTGTTTGTTTCTTTTTAGAAGTGGCCTGATCTAAGACAGAATGGTGAAGTGTAATGGGAGAAGGAATAATGGCTCTATTTGGAAAGGAGCAACAACAATAAACATGAAGACTAGAGTGCTTATTTATCAGACGCTGTTCTAAACATGTTATGTGGACTGTTTGATAATTATTTTATTCTTTACAGCAACTTGAGCTATTACTATTATTTTCTCCATTTTACAAATGAGGAAACAGGAAAAGAGAGGTTAGAAAGCACGTTTTTCCTTAGTCACATAACTAGTAAGTCTCAGAGTAAGGATTTGAACCCACACTACCATGTTTCAGAGTCTATGAATTTTTAAAACTCTTATTTTGAAATACTGTGACACTTATAGTACAATTGTAGAAATAGCACAGGTTCATATATGCTTTGTCCAGTGGCTGGTGCTGTGGCAAAGTGGGTAAAGCCACTGCCTGCAGTGCTGGCATCCCATATGGGTGCCGGCTCTAATCCCAGTTGCTTCACTTCCAATCCTGTTATAGCCTGGGAAAGCACCAGAAGATGACCCGAGTACTTGGGCCCCTGTACCCATGTGGGAGACCCAGAAGAGGCTCCTGACTTAGCTCCAGCTGTTGCTACCGCCTGGGGAATGAACTAGCAGATAGAAGATCTCTTTGTCACTCCCTCTTTCTCTGTAACTCTGCCTTTCAAATAAGTAAATAAATCTTTAAAAAAAAAAGCAACATATATGCTTTGTCCAGATTCCCCAAATGTTACATTTTAATACAATTGTTCTATCCATCTTTCTCTACATATGATTATATATGTATATAATTTTTTAAAAATGGTTTTAGAAATATAGACACAATGGCCTCTTTCTATAAAAGTTGCATCCTCTTACATAATCGCTTTGTCAAAATTAGGAAATTAAAACCCATATAGTATTCTTCTCTAACCTACAAACCTTATTCAAATATTAAGAAACCAAAAACGTTGTTTTGGTTCAGGATTCACCCCCAGATCACTTGTTCAGAGCCCATGTTCTTAGCCATCTCTGCACTGTACAACCTTTCCGTGCAGCTAGTCACCATTGCTAGTACTAGCAGAACTACCAATGGGAGCTAAGCATTGAAGATACTGTTTGTTTTGAAATCTTCGGTTTCCTTTTCTTCTTCTCTTCTTCAAAATATTTTCTCCAGTTAACAATGCTTCCCTTTTTCTGCCCTCTCCTCCCAATTCCTATTACAACTTTGAAGCCATCATGAAGTCCCTTGGAATTAACAATTTTAGAGGCAGAAATGTTGTCCTTCTGCCAGATTTCCTTTCTTCTCATGGAAAAAGCATTTCTAAAAAACATTATCTTAACAGACTACAACTAAGAGGACCCACATTTCCTTGGTTTACCTTTAAAATGTATCTTTTAGAACTGGAGCTCTGAATCTGGGATCTGTGAACGAAAGGTGCACTTTTCCCTCTGAAGTGATCACAGTGTTAGATGGATTTGTGTGGATTTCTGGGGACAGAGTCTGTATCTTCCACGTGGGTTTCAAAATTGTTGGTGACCCAGACTAGTTTTAAGAGTTTTCTTGTTGGTATTTTCTCTTCTAGAGGATGGAAATTGCATCTTGATGCATTTTCTTAGTCTCATGAAATCCTAATATGCAACAGAGTAGTAGGTCCTCTCAAATTTTAACATGCACTTCTTGAGAATTCACGTTGTACACCAATTGATGTGAGCATGGACACATGTTAGTGATCTCTGTTCCTAATTTAAACAGACTGCTGTTGTGGGCATTTTAGCTATCAATCTGTTCTAGTTCCTTAACAAGCAGCCCTATCTCATCTCCTTCTTTTGTGACCTCTTCTAGGGAATGAATGCCAGGCCAGCCACACTGTTTCACTACTGGGCAGTGAAATAAGATTATACCCTAGTGGCAGCAATATTTATAGGCATTGAAACAGAAATTGGTAATTGTTACAAATGTTCAGCAAGCCACATTTCATGACCAGCTTTGCAAGAAAAAATTGAAAGTGTGAACAGCTGTTGGTGCATTGCATTTGCATTTCTGAAGTTTCAAGTGAAGATAAAACATTAGCAGCTGTGATAGATTGATTCCTCCATTTGACCTAGTGCCTCAGGGTGTGCAATACATTGATGTAGTCAGGCTGTCAGGGTGCTGGTGAGAACTGTGGGGAGATGGAGAATCTAAGAGATGAAAACAAGTTTGTTACTTTTTTAAGTTTGCTTTTCTTCTTCTTCTTTTTTTTTAATCTAGATAGTCCTATTGGTATCTAGCAATCTGCATAATAACTAAAAGAGCCTTTGATTTAGGAATTCCAATGGTTGATTATCCTTAGACCTCATATACCTAAGAATATTAGAGTAGTTAACTCTCATGTGGATTGTGTATCTTTATTTTTTTATGTTTTTATGTGTTTTTGATATGTGTATCTTGAAGAGACTTTAATTCTACCTCTGAATGTGTTTGGGTTTCCTCCTCTGGCTTCACTTAAGACACTGTTAGTGTTCTCTTATGAGATCCAAATGCTTAAGGGCAGAATAACTTTATTGATGAGATTATTTAAGCCCACCTCTGATAATATTTATTAAGAAAGTACAATTTTTAAAAATCTCGAGGGGCAATGAAGTAAACTATCACAGAATATAGAATTGTTTCACTTTCAGGCTCACAGAAGCTCGAGACTTTTGAAGAGAGTCCAGATGGAAGTATTAGAGTCCAGAACAGAAGGTGTTGAGTGTCTGAAGCTCTAGAGGGAGAAGCTGGGGAAGGTAGGGAGGTATTTGAGTCTCTCTTTCTTAAAAGGTTGGTGGTACTTACTCTTTACAGCCCTGCACTCATGTCTAACTACAGAAAGGAAGGTCTAGGGCTTATGTTATGATAACCATGAAGCAAATGTTAGGGCAGTGAAGATTCTGACACATTGAGCTAAGAGTTAGCAGATTTTTGGTTCACTAATGTTAATGAGAAAGGAAAGTTAATTTTTTGACTGAAATAGTCTTATTTAAGAAGACCCTTGAAAACCATTGAATCAAATACTCTATGGTTTTGACATTCCAGCACTACAATTTTAGTTGTATATGTAATAAAAATGATAGTCATTTGAATTTCTCTTATTTCTGGTTCATTTGGGTCCATAGCATCACTGTGGTATGTCATAGGGTGGATTGACTTAAAACTTTTTTATTCTTGGAATTTTTTCCTTATTTGCGAACTAAAATAGTTATGTAATCAGTGATGGTATCTTCTGCAGTTACCTAGGAAGCAGGAAGATCTTGTGATATGAATCACTTCACAAGAATACAATTGACATCTGATTAGATAGGGTCGATTTTTCTTGCCTTCTTTAGTTAGGGTTATTGCCTCTGTATAAGAAATGGTATTTGGTCATTCCCTCTCCACTTCCAACCACTAGACCCGTTAATCTTATTGAAGACTTCAGATTTTATATGCAGTCTGTGCAGGTAGCCAGATGCCATATGCTGTTAATTTCTTATTCCATGAAGGCCAGATCATACAGCTGGAAATGATTGAAAAGAAAAGCATGTTCTTTTGTTTAACAAGACAAAGCCTATTGTGTACTCTGCTTCTGATGCTTAAAAGATGTATTTTTTTTTCTTGTGACTGCATAGTATGTAGGGCTAAAAGTTTTGAACTCTTCACTTCAGAAATTACTTTTCCAGACAAAAGAGCAAAACAATGTTTGTTTAAATTGTTCTCTGGAACATGACTGATAGTGTTTACAACATTTCTATGACATTTTGATCCAGTAGGGAGTACTTGGAGAGGTATTTAAAGTGCTTTTCACTAAGTCAGATGCTTTGTAGTGTTTGAACCTTTTTAAAAAATCATTTGAAAGGTTGAAGTTCTGAGTTGAGAGACAGAAAATGGCCAGGGCTTTCTCTAAAGAGTAAAAATGACTTATCATAAGCAAACCCGATTTTTTTTCCTTCAAAAATTGAAAGCCTGCTTCTTGTTTAACTAGAATAAGACACATACCCGTTGGTTCAGGGCTTTGTCTCTCATGCCATGTCTCTTCATAAGCGTTATTTTCCAGATCTACATTCTATTCAATGGCAGCTTCTTTGGAAAAAGCCATTGAGGGCCATGTGTGTATTATTTATGTGTGTTCTGTTTTTTGTTTTTGTTTTTTATTTTTGTAAAAATAAATTCTACAGAGGAAGCTATAACTTGATTCAGGTGCCAAAGATATGTTTATAGAACATAGAGGAAAGCACTAGGTAGGTATATTGAACCAACAATAGAGTATACTTAGAAAAATTTGTACTTCATACATTATTTTTTCTAATCTTGATGTGACATACCAGTGCAAGGCATTTGACTGATTGAAACTGCCTCAGGAAATTCTATGTGCCATAAAGAATCCATGAGTAAAGTACCAAATTAAATAATTGACCCATTTTACAAAAAGTCTTATAGAAAGCCCAAGCTTTTTATGGTAGATTTTCTGGAGAATTCTGTTGAATGACATCCGACTATAAGAATGTTTAAATTTTGTCTTTAAACTGGGGGCAATCTTGTTCAGCTTTTTCTATTTTAAAATTTATTTATTTAATTTATTTGAGAGAGAGACAGACAGACAAATAGACAGAGCAGGTAAATGCCCATCTGCTGATTCATTACTCAGATGCCAGAGAGTTGGGAACTTAGTTCAGGTCTCCCATGTGGACTGCAGGGAACCAACTATTTTGAGTTATCATCTGCTGCTTCCCAGGGTACACATTATGTGCGTTTGTGTGTATATATTTAAATTTTTGATTAATGTGTAATAGTTGTACATTTTTATGGGCCACAGTACAATATCCCAGCAAATATACAGCAACATAAACTAATCAAACCAGCTAGTTAAACTTTCTACTTCCTTATCTTTTCTATATTTTAGAGCCTACCATTGCCTCTCTTCCCTTTATGTAACATATAATACATTATAATACATTATTATGAATTATAGTCTACCCTGTGTGCCATTCATTTTCCAACCTCTGTCACCCTTTACCCTCACCCTTCTCCTAGGTCCTAGTAGTCACTATTTAAAGTTGAGATTGAATTAATATGTTTATATATACACAAACTGGCACATGTGAGAGAGAATGATAGTTGTCTTTCTGTGTCTTTTTTCAGTTAATATAGTGAGCTCTAGCTCAATCCATTTTGCTACAGTGTCAGGATTTTGTTCTTTTTATGGCTGAATAATAGTCCATGTGTCGGTATACCACATTTTATTTATCCATTCATTCATCAATGGGCATTTAAGTTGATTCCATATCTTGGCTATTGTGAATAGTGTTACACTGAATCTGAGGGTGTAGGTATTACTTTTATGTGCTGGTTTCATTTCCTTTGGTTATATACCCTAAGGTGGCATAAATGAGTCATATTTTTAGTTTTCTGAGGAACCCACATACTTTTCTCCCTAATGACTATATTAATTTGTATCTCCACAAACACAATATAATGGTTCTCTTTTCTCCACATTCTTGCCAGTAGTTGTTATTTTTTGTTTTTATTAATAATTGCCATGCTAACTGGAGTGAGAGGATACCTCCTTCATTGGAGTCTTATCTGTCCTTCCTTCCTTCCTTCTTTATAGGAGAGAGGGCACATGAGAGAGTACTTTTCCTGGTCCACTGGCGTGCTCTCCAAATACCCACAATGCTGGGACTGAGTCTGGGAGCTAATAATGTAATCTAGGTCTCCCTTGTGGGTAGTGAAAACCCAGTTAGTTGAACCATCACCTCTCCCTCCCAGGTTTTGCATTGGCAAGAAGGTAGATTCAGGACCTAGAGCCAGGAATTGAACACAGGTACTCTAATATGGAATGCAGGTGTCTTAACTGCTAGTCTAAACACCTTCTCTCTCATTGTGGTTTTGATCTGTATTTTCTTGTTAGCTAGTGATGTTAAACATTTTTTCATTTGTTTGTTGGACATTATATTTCTTCTTCTGAGAACTGTCCAGTTTCCTTTCCTATTTATTAACCAGATTGTTCATTTTTTGTTGTTGGATTTTTGAGTTCCTTATTCTGAATATTAATCCTTTGTCAGATGAATAGTTTGCTGGTATTTTCTCCCATTCTGTTGATTGTAGAGAAAGAGAGGTCTTCCATCTGCGGGTTCACTCCCCAAATGGCCACAACAGCCAGAGCTGAGCCTATCTGAAGCCAGGAGCCAGGAGCTTCTTCTGGGTCTCCCATGTGGGTACAGGGGACCCAAGGACATGGGCCATCCTCCACTGTTTTCCCAGGCCCATTAGCAGGGAGCTGGATTGGAAGTGGAACAGCTAGGAGTTGAACTGGCGCCCATGTGGGATACTGGCACTGCAGGCCAAGGCTTTGACCTGCTGCGCCATAGCACTGGCACCTGATTGTTTATTTACTCTGTCCATTGCTTCCTTTGCTGCACAGGAGCTTAATTTGATAAGGTCCCATTTGTCTGATTTTGTTTTTGCTGCCTGTGATTTTGAGGTCTTATCCAAAATGTTGTTGCCTGTGCCAGTGTCTTGAAGTGTTTCCTCTGTTTTCTTTTAGTAGTTCCATGGTTTTGGGTCTTACATTCACTTCTTTTATCTATTTTGAGTTGATTTTTGTACAAGGTCAGAGGCAGGAGCAGAAGTTAAGGTCCTGTCTTATGCATATGAATATCATTTCCCCAGCCCCTTTATTGAAGAGATTGTGTTTGCTCCAGTGCATTACCTTCTTGCTTAAATTTATCCCAAGGTATTTTTTTGGTAATTGTTATGAATGGAACTGCTTTTATACTTTCTCAGTGAATTCATTATTGGTATATATTATTGCTTTTGATTTTTTGTGTGTTGATTTTGTATCCTCCAACTTTACTGAATTTGTTTGTTAGTTCTAATAGTCTGTTGGTGGATTCTTTAGGATTTTCTGTGTGAGTAATCATGTCATCTGCAAAGAGGAAAACATGTCATCTTCCTCCTTTTCTATTTCTATGCCTTTTGTTTCTGAAGGAAATATATTTAGAAAGTATCTAAGTGTCATTAGTCCATTCATTTTTTGTTGTGCTTTGGGCAACTTAGTTAAACTAATGCTTGCTTCTTTATAGAAGTTTCTAAGTTAAAACATTTTAAGATATACATTATCTGTCTAATATTATTTTCCAGTCAATTGCATATATATGCATATATTGTGTATATAATCATCAAAAAACTCGACATAAGGTGGCAAACTTGGCAAGACCTTCTAGAACCACTGGCAGAAGAGGTGACCTCTGTGCCTTCTTCAATATTCTGAAGTAGCTCAGAAACACAGCATTCAGAGTTTCTGTGTACAGTTTACGTTTCTTTCCAGTACTTTGCAGAAGCTCCTGCTCTAGTTTCTCTTCTGCTTTCTTCCACTCTCTCTGCATTTGTGATAGAGTTTTCTCTTTTCCTTGAGAGTTATGAACTTCTTAGGTTTATTAGTATCCTCAGCATCTTTCTCCACTTCTACTTCCTTGATTCTTAGGCACAACAATATTTTTAACATCTCTGGCCTGACTTCATAATTACTTCATAATTCATTTTTGTTACACCTAGAGAAGTTTGGCCTAATTTATCATTTAATGAGTTCCTTTACTACTTCACAACACATTTCAGATACCAATTTTGACACATCATTCAAGAGATGGACAATCAATACGATGATGTGAGAATTACAATGATGTAGTGCCACCAACAGCTCACACAAGCTGTTCGCAGCCACCTCTGCTAGTCATCTGTATGCCGTTAAGGACATTGCATTACTTTTCTTCAGCTTACTTTGCGTCCAATCTTTAATCACTTGCTTCAGATTTTCCAAATAAAATTTGTACTGGCTAACCAGGCCTTCTTCAGATTCTCTTATCATTTGGATTTCTTTGCAGAGCTTGGAAGATTTTTCTGCTTCTATTAGGGGTAGGATTTTATATGAAGGAGTAGTCTTTAAATAACTCCATCAGAGAACTGTCACCAGCTTTCAACCAGTAACAGCCACATCAGGATCCTGTTCCATCAGCATGGAATATAATTCTTAAAATTTCTTTATGCTGCTTTCTGCATCTGACACAATGGCAGAGGCCAAGCCTGCAATGTGATTTTTCTTCTGTAGTTTCTTCTTTCTTTCAACCAAACACTCTTCTATGGTCAGCTCTCTTGAATAGGATGTTCATTGACCTCTTCCTCAAGTTCCATCTCTTTTTGATCCTGTTCATCTTTGTTCTTGTAAATAATTGGCTTTTCCCTGGTCTGTACAATTTAGACCACTTTTATCTTTGATAGGAAGCAAATGAATCAGTTCCTTCTCTGGTGCAGTTTGCAGAGTTCTTGATATTTTTTCATATTTATCTTTAATGCATTCATGCTTTCATTTCTTGGTAGTAATGGGCTCACTAGATGAAATGATGGTTCCATCAGGTTGTATCACTTAGGGACATGGATTTATTAGTAGCTCTTCATACTCTCATTGAGTTTGGAGACCTAACCTATCAAGAAAGTCTTCACTGTGTCCAGACTGTTTTTCATATTCTTTCTGGGCATGGTGATGTTCTGAATATTCATCCAATGAAATTCTGTACACATCTCTCTGAAACACTGTTTAAGCTACATGCAGGTGCTACCAATGAGGGGTAGAGATTGTTCTCCAGTGCCTTGATGTCATGCTTACCAAGTGCAGAAAGCAAGTTTCTCAACAATGAGCCCTGGCCTTCATCAAGAGCCTTTGTACCCTTGCTCTTCATGTTTTTCCAAATTTAAACATTAACATTTTAGCATCTACCAGAATGCTAATGCAGACTTCCCCAAAAACGGATCTGTTGCTTGACAGTGAATCTCAGGGAAGTGGAATTTTCCTCCCTGAGCTGGATGAACCTGAGTACTGTCATACTCAAAACACTGCTCTCTGGGAATTGCATGCACTGTGGAGATATTGGCATCCCATAGTGCAGAGATTCGCTGCACACCTGATTGCCGGAGCACCTGCTGGAGGCTCTGAAATACTCAGGCTGAGCTGTGCCAAAGATCTGCTGCTGAACTTTTTGAGACCTACAGCCTGGCAGCAATGACATTCACTCCTCCTGTTGAATCTTCACAGTCCAAAAAGGAGAATAAAATTGTACAAGGGCATTCACTTTCTAAATAAAGATTTAAATCAACTAGTCTAAAGACATTGCAATGAAGTTACTACTCAGTCATCCCTGGGTTTTACCAAATATTTGAAAACATCATTATGACAGTAGACAGAATGAAGAATTGGTAGACTTTGTTGTATATTTGCATGCAGATACACATAAAGATATGTTGTCTACCTAGGACCTTTGATTTTTATACAAGAAAGACTTCCTAAGAAAGATTAGGAAGAAGACAGATTACCTTTTATGTGGCACATGCCTGGACTTCTGTTCTGTAAATGTCATTTCATTAAGAGAATTAAAAGCCCCTGATAGTATTTGGAAATTTCTTTCTTTGTGATGCTGCTTTAAAAAAAAAAACTTACTGTACATATTAAATGATAGTTTTTTTTAATAAAAACTTTGGTTTGAATCTTCCTGGAATCAGTTGATATATAGAGCAGAAAAATCAAGACCATGAGAATTTTTTAACCATTTAAGCTACTCTTTATATCCACTCTTTTTTTTTTTTTCTTTCAAGAGGCAGAGTTAGACAGACAGAGAGAAAGAGAGAAAGGTCTTCCTTTTTTTTAGTTGGTTCACCCCCAAAATGGCTGCTAAGGCCAGCGCACTGTGCCGATCTGAAGGTAGGAGCCAGGTACTTCCTCCTGGTCTCCCATGTGGGTGCAGGGCTCAAGGACTTGGGCCATCCTCCACTGCCTTCCTGGGCCACAGTAGAGAACTGGCCTGGAAGAGGAGCAGCGGGGACAGAATCCGGTGCCCTGACTGGGACTAGAACCCGGGGTGCTGGCGCCGCAGGCGGAGGATTAGCCAAGTGAGCAGCTGCGCCGGCCTATATCTACTCTTTAAGACTAAATAAATATTATTTAAAAACTAAATAATTATTATTTAGAATGAGTAACATTCTAAATTTGAGTGAAAATATATTTGTGAAGATTTTTGAGAAAAATAGGTTGAAATTGAAAAAAAAAGCATAATCATATGCCGTCATGTTTTAACATCTTATGAAATGATATTTTTGGTGTTTCTTTAATTGTATTGATGTATGTTTTTTTAAAAATATTTATTTATTTATTTGAAAGTCAGTTACAGAGAGAGAAGGATAGGTAGAGAGAGAGTGAGAGAGATGTTCTATCCTCTGGTTCACTCCCCAGTTGGCTGCAATGGCCAGAGCTGTGCCGATCTGAAGCCAGGAACCAGGGACCAGGGACCAGGAGCCAGGAGCTTCCTTTGGGTCTCCCACATGGGTGCAGGGGCCCAAGGACATGGGCCATCTTCCACTGGTTTCCCGGGCCATAGCAGAGAGGCTGGATTGGAAGTGGAGCAGCTGAGACTCAAACCGACTCTCATAAGGGATGCCAGCACTGCAGGTGGCGGCTTTACCTGCTACGCCACAGTGCTGGGCCCTTGATATATGTTAAAATAGTCTGTGATCCCAGTGATAATGACACTTATTTTAGTGTTACTTCTTAATTTTTTTTGACTCTGAATTTTATAAAAACAAAGATGAGAATGGTTCCACCTTCCCTCTTCTTTGTAAATCAGAATAATTTCTTTGAGTTTGTTTCTCCTTCCTATCTTTTAAAATTGTATTAGGTGAATGGGTTTATTAGTTTAGATTTCTGTGACTAGTTATATTTGGGGTAAGGGAAGCTTAGTGGTGAACCCCCTACTTGTAAGATTTTCTTAGCCACTTTTAATGAGAACTAACCAGTGTTCCAGGATTTATAACTATTTTTCTATATTAGAGGAATGAGTAGCTTTAAAAAAATAACAAACTTTATTTTCAAGAATAGTTTAGGTTTACAGAGAAGTTGAATTGAATATATACAATCCCACAAATTGCTCGCCTTCATTCTCAGGCAGAGTTTCCTCTTGTTATGATCTTACATTAGTGTGAGCACCCCCTCTCCTTTTTACAATTAATAAGTCATTATTGATGACTTTATTTATGACATTATTATAACAAAAGCTCATAGTTTACATTAGTACTTACTATTGATGTTGTGTATTCTATGGATTTTAACAAATATAGTATGTATCTACCAGTACAGTATTGTACAGAATAGGTTTACCACCATGAAAATCCTGTGTATTCCCACCTCCTTATCCTTCCACCTTCCTCCCTTAATCCTTGGAATAACTAATCTGTTTACTGTTCTTCATAGTTTTGCCTTTTCCCAAATAGCATGCAATGGCGATCAACAACTGTAAATTTCCCCATAGACTCAGCTTATGCTGCATCTCACAGATTTTCTTGTTATATTTTCATTTAGTTTGAACTAGTTTTTAATTTCTTTTGAGACTGCCTCTTTGACCCATATGTTATTTTGAAGTGTGTTTTCAGTCTCCAAGTATTTTGGAGTTTGCCAGCTATCTTTCTGTTATTGACTTCCAAAGTCCTGTGTGTGTATGTGTGTGTGTGTATGCTCATATCCTTTTCCATCCCTAACCTCTGATAACCTCTGATCTCTTCTCCATGCTTTAAAGCATATAGTTTTGTCTCCTTAAGGACGTCAAATAATTGATATCACACAGATGTATACTTTAGAGATCTTTCATTCAGCATGCCTTTGATATTCTTCCAACTTATTGTGTGGATCAATAGTACACTGCTTTTTATTTTTGAGTCTTATTCCATTGTATGGATGTGCCCCAAGTTGTTTATATCAATCAGCTGTTGAGGGAAATTTGGATTGTTTTCAATTAATAGAGGTGATGTAAATAATTACATACATATTTGCATGAAGATATCTGGGGTAAATACCGTGGAATGGGATTTCTCAGTCAGAGGGTAGATATGTTTCACTTTGTAAGAAATGATGAAACTGTTATCCAGAATGACTGTGTCCTTTTTCATTCCCACAGCCCTTTTTCAAACTTTAAAAAGTAACCTTGTATGTTATTGTGGTTTTAATTTTCATCTCCATAATGGCTAATGATCTTGAGCAACTTTTCATGTGTTTATTTTCCATCCTGTGTTCTCTTTGGTGAAGTATCTGTTCAAATATTTTGCCCATTTTTAAATTGAGCTTTTCTCTTCTTTTGAACCTTTGGGTTTGTTTATATATTCTGGATGCAAATCCTTTATTAGATGCATGATTTGCAGCTATTTTCACTCGTCTATACCCAGTTTTTTATTTTTTTATGTTGTCTTTTGTAGAGCAAAAGGTTTTAGTATGAAAGTGAATCATCATTTTGGTGCCATGCCTCAGGACTCTGCTTTATACTTGGTCATGAAAACTTTCTTCTAAATATTTTATAGACGAATATTTCATGATCTACTTTCAGTTAATTATTGTAACAGTTTATAAAAGTTCTGAGATTTAGTTTAATGTGTCTTCTTTCCCTTCGTCCTTATCCTCTTCCCATTTAATGAAAAAGGACTATCCTTTCTCCATTGATTTATTTTTGCACTTTTTATAAAAAAAAAGAAGGCCATACTTGTGTGAGTCTGTTTCTTGAATATCATTTTTATTCCACTGATGTCCATTACTGGTGTCTGTCCCTTTGCTTGTCTTGATTATTGTAGCTTTAAAAGTAGGTCTTGGCCGGCACCGCGGCTCAATAGGCTAATCCTCTACCTAGCGGCGCCGGCACACCGGGTTCCGGTCTGGGCACCGGATTCTTTCCCAGTTGCCCCTCTTCCAGGCCAGCTCTTTGCTGTGGCCCAGGAAGGCAGTGGAGGATGGCCCAAGTCCTTGGGCCCTGCACCCCATGGGAGACCAGGAGAAGCACCTGGCTTCTGCCTTCAGATCAGCGCGGTACGCTGGCCGCAGCGCGCCAGCCATGGCAGCCATTGGAGGGTGAACCAACGGCAAAGGAAGACCTTTCTCTCTGTCTGTCTCTCTCACTATCCACTCTGCCTGTCAAAAAAATAAAAAAAAAAATTAAAAAAATTGGATAGTGTACATTTTTTAATAATAAAATAAATAATTGTGTGTTGTAATTCTTTTCATTGTTCTTTTTCATAGTTGTTTTTAATAAATTCCTTCAGTTTTCCACATAAAGTTTAGAATCAGGTAGATTATATCTTTAAAAAGTAATACTAGATTTTTAAATGCAATGACATTGAATCTACAGCTCAATTTGGGCAGACATAAGTCCCTCAATTTACCTAGGTCTCTTTGGATTTCTTTCATTAGTATTTTATGTATGTTTTATATAGATTCATAACAATTTTATATATATAAATTCTGTGTATGTTTTGCTACATTTATACCAATTATTTAACATTTCCTTCTACCTGTTGTAAATAGTATTAAAAGCTTTTGGTTTCAAATTATTCATGGCCAGTTTATAGAGATATGACTTTATGTGTTGACTATATTGTGTAAGCTTGCTGAACTCATTTATTTGTTATTTGTTGTAGTTTTTTTTTTTTTTTTTTTTGCTATGTGGAGAATCATACCATCTGTGAATAGGGACAAATTAATTTTTTCTTTTATTCTGTAGGTTTTTAATCTTTCTTTTATTTATCTTTCTTATTTTTATTCATCTTTCTTGTCTTATTGCATTGGCTAGGTATTTTTCAGTTCTCTTGGGCTCTTATCTTTTATTCTTTTATGGGCTTTTGTTACTCTGTTTTGGTATGGATTTTCCCAATTATCCTCTTTTCTCTGGGTAAGCCCAGGAAGGACAGAGTGAAAGAATAAAGAACTGAGGTTTCGTCTCACCCTCATAGAACCAGAGGTACATTGGATGTGGAGGTTTCCCTCCCCTAGGATTTTAGCTCTCTTAGTGGCCAGTGCCAGTACTGCTTGGAGGTTGCTACGGGCTGTTGTGAGATGGAGAAAAGTAAGAGAAAAATGCTGGCAAATTTCCATACTTTCTCTCTCTGAGCATTGGTGCCCTCTTTCCTACTCCATGAGGAATGAATAGAAGGCTGATCCCCCAGCTTTGTTACCTAGCAACAGCATTAAATTCAGGCTGAGTGATACCACAAGGGGAGAAAAAAAGATGAATTTATTGCCAGGTTTTTTGGTACTTCAAATTCTAGTCTTTTCCCCCAGTCTGCCTGTTACTATTTACTTCTTTGGATACCTTAAGAGCTACTGTATGCCTTCTCCTGAAATATTATAACTTTGCCAGGGGACAGAAGTTTGAGTATGCTTATTACTTCATTTTACCTGAAATTGGACTAAATGAAATTTTACTGGGATTGAACTAAAGCACCCTCCTTTGTGTGCAGACTGAGTAATCACAGAATGAATGAACTTATGATGTTGTCAAGATTTTAATTGAAAGCATTCTATGATTGGGCAGTTATAGGCCAGTGCATTGGTGGAGATAAAGTTTTTGTTCTGAGACACTGAATCAGGATAGCGTTTGTACTCTGCTCTTCAGTGGAATTCTAAGGATGGCATACATTATTATTCATCTTAGAAAAAAACTATATTTCTTAGAAAAAACTATATTTCTGTACTGTTTTTATTAAATAAATTGAAAAAGACTAATATTTGTAAGACTGAGAAAAGAGGATACTTTTTAGATACTAGTCTACACATGTCACTGAAAGTCAATCAAATAAATGCCATAGTATTTATTGTTCACTATACTTAAGAGAATTATTTATTCCAGGCTTTATTTCATTCATCATTTTGATCAGGTTAATTATGGTTTTTTGAGAGTTAGGGTGGTACTACCTAACTGTAGACTGAATTTTAATAGCCAATCCTTTACTTTACTCTAAAATAGAAGTTTGAATATGAGAGAGAGGAACGCACTAGTAAGAGTCTTTCAGACTGGTTTATGCTGTGAGTCCTTATTTTGGGTTTTGTCCAGACCCATCTACATGGGATAGACCTTCTGCTGTTTTCAGATTGCCTGACCTTTTGGTAAGCTAAAGCTTTTAAGAGTTTAACATTACAAATACCTCAGGTTCATTGGCATATGCAGAACAAATGTGAATCAAACACAAAAATAATTCTTTCAAGAATTGTATTTATTGATGTGGTAGTGAAATACTACACTGTTTACAATAGAGAGCTAAGTGGGGTTTTGAGTATGCTGAGAAGTTGACAGCTTGTGGGTCCTGAACAGAATTCTGTCTTTTGTAGGGTAAAAGAAGAAAAGATGTGTTCTTGAAATGATTATTTATAAATTATTTGAAATCTTGTTCCGCTTCCAGCTCAGGAGCCACTTGCCAGCACTGTGGTCACTGCAATAGTGAAATTTTGGAAGCAAAAAAAACCTCCATAAAACTTCATAGAATTCTGTTTGCATTTGAATATTAAGATAAAGAATACTTTTGTAGGATTGGGGGGAAACATAACGTAGCTGTGAACACAGTTTTCCAACTTCCTTATGACAAAATAATTAGAAATTGAAATAAAATTATAGGAATTCAGTATAAAGTTAAATGTGGATAGGTAGCAAAATTTTGCTTGTTGCACAGTAGGAGAGAGATTATAATCACTTGATTTAATGAAAGAGATCATGCGGAGAGAGATTTGCTTCATATATGCCTTCATCTTTTTTTTTGTCTGAGAGTGTAATATCACATTTTAAGTTGTTTTTTGGAACTTTGGCTTTAGTTAAAAGACTATTGTTTTTATGTTGAGTACATTCTATTTTATTAATTATAGGAGTCTGCCTTCTTCAAAAAATAATTTGAGGAACTTTCTGGGAAAAAAATAGACCTACAAATATTAGGATTAGAGAAACAGTAATATAATAAAAATAATGGTGTATTGGAGATTAAAGGGAAGAGGAAATACAGACCAGAAACTGACAGTAAAATAGCGCATTGTATAGGAAATAGAGACTGTATTTACTTCAGTACTGTAGTGTTAGGATGATGATGGCGGAAGAATTGGAGGATGGGAAAAGGCACTTGGAAGGAGGAAACATTGAACTGGAACTGAGTCTTTCTTCTTCCTTGGATCCATTATAATATTTGAAAAACAAGAGAGCTCAGTTGTAAAATTAACAACAATTGCAAATTATTTTAACAAAGAGAAGCGTTTGGTGCATTTACCATGAAGAAATTACTTTTTAGTCCTTCTAGGTTATTAACTTTTATTGTTTTTACATTATTGATTTTGTACTTACATTAAAATTAGTTTTTGGAGCTGGAGTTGTGGCACAGTTGGGTTAAGCCATTGTTTGGGGTTTGAGTCCCGAATATTCCACACTTGTGGTCCAGCTCCCTGCTAATGGGACTAGGAAGGCAACAGAAGAAAGGCCAAGTACTTAGGCCCTTCCCACTTATGTGGGAGACCAAGATGGAGTTCTAGGCTGCTGGCTTCAACATGGCCCAGATCTGGCTTTTGGGGTCCATGTAGGAAGTGAGCTGGTGGGTGGGAGATCTCTCTATCTCTCCCCCATCTCTGTCACTCTGCTTTTCAACTAACTAACTAAATATTTTTAAATGAAAATTCATTTGCTTTTACTGTGATATATATTTATCTCTGATTTCTTTTGTAACCTGCTCCTCCTCTCTACTCCAGTTAATTCAGAATAGATTGATCCTTTAAAGGTCAAGCACATGTCTTTATTAGTTCTTTGATATGTTTTTCTGTTATCATCAGTGTAATTCTATGGGGAAATTTACAGCCATAGAACCTGACTGTATGTTGATCTGTTTCTTGGACTTTATTTATTTTTAAATTTTTTAAACTTAAATTTTTTAAGTTAATATAAAGATTACAGATTTCATGTATTTCATAGATAAAATTCTAAGAAGGTAACCATACTTGCCACCCTTCTTCCCTTCCTCAAAGCATACTCTTTCTTTCATTTCTTTTTTTTTCCTTCGATTTTTGCAATGAAATGTGTATTTTTTGTATTTCATGTATACAGTTTTAAGGTCATAATGATACTTCCCACCATACCTTCTCTCTCTTTCTCTCTCTCTCATTCTCCCTCTTCCTTCTTTTCTTACTTTTCTTTTAATTTTTATAATGATTTACTTTGAATTTTCTTTATAATTACAAGCCTAACCCTCTACCAAATAAAGAATTCAACAAATAGTAGGTAGAAAAATCACTGTTCCTCAAGAGTATGGACAAGAGCTATAACCAATAATCAAACTCAAAATACTAATTTTACTCATATGCTTTTTTGATATTCTATATATTAATTACTACAAATCACGAAAACATATGATATTTATCTTTTTGGGATTGGCTTATTTCTTTAAGTATAATGGTCTCCAGTTTATTTTACATCATATATTGCTTTATTTTAATTTGTGAGTAATACTTGCTTAAAGTATAGTACATTGAAAATAAACAGAAAAATTTTGTATAATTAATACTTTGAGGTGACCACTAATACTATTTTGGTGAATGTTCTTATGTTTTTTTTGTATGTCCAGGTATTAAAACTAGTAGTATATTGTGAATTTTTTTCATGTAAATTAATACTCTTAATTATTAATAATAGTTAATAATTATTGAATGCTTTATTTCTCTTGTATGTGAAATTCTATGGTAGGTCCTCCAACTCTAGCACAATGGCTTTTTTCCTCAGAATCATCAGATACCCAGTCTTTCTCTAGCATTCTTTGCTGTCAGGGTTACTTTCTAGTGTAAGTGGATTTTCTGAGTTCCAGTTGTCCTGGTCGTATTCCAGCCAGCAGGAAGATTGATTTGAAAAGCAAATAATAACCAAACACACAAAAAAGAAAAGACCTAATGTTGAGTAGTTGTGACAATATGCTTAAATAGTTATTAAATAAAATAGATATTGGCAATCTGTTAAATAAAAAAGCCCCTAATAATAGCTGATAACATATGTATGCATCTGTGGATGTAAGTATGCAGATATGTTTGTGCACACATATATACATACATGAAAATGTCTGGAAACACATACACCAAGATGATAGTAATAGCCATTTTTAGGTAACAGTTTTATGGATTTTTGTATATTTTTTAGACAACTCTATCATGAATA